TGTTTTTTTTGCTTCTATAAAGCAACGAACTATCAAGCTGGCAGATATAAGTATTAGGACTACCATTATTTTCAAAATTAAATTTTTCTTAACCCCTCCCCCCGTAAACACCCCGAAATCCGAGAAATTAATTCATGCCCCCAGTGCAAGTATCACTGAACTTTCAGTAAATGTGGATGACGAAATTTTTTCGCGACTTTAAAAAAAATTTATCCGGTTACTTAGTGCCGCCAAATCGAGGTAAAAGTATTAGTTGTAGAAATAGTTTGTTGTGGGAAATGAAAAAGAAAATAATTTTGGAATACCCCAGACATCCTAATATATACATATACTTATAAGCATTGTATATTAATCACAAGTGTAAATTAAGGCACACCCTTATTTTTAAATCAACAACTATTTCCGATTTGAACAGATCATGAACGTTCTTAATTGCCTCGATGTTAGAGACGTACTATTTTGCCAGTACTGGTGTTGGATGGTTACGATTGTTGGTTAATTTTTAATTTACAACTGTACTATGCAATTTACAATTTTCTCATTCAAATATTTATACGTGTATACGTTCGCGTGGGTAATTACATTAACGTGTTTCTACATAATTAAAGTTTGAAACTATTTAAATAGAACATCGTGTACTACAAACGGGAAGGTGAGTTGAGACTATAAGTGATCAAGTTTTACAAAAATGGAGATCATTCGTTTTTGCTTGATAATAACATTCACTTTTCTTCTTGAGAATAAATTTATACATCTTATAGATCAAAACTAATTCTAAGAAATCTTTGTACATCAACATAAAAAATATTGTCATTCATAATCTTTAATCATTAAAATATGTTGTAACTGAAAGTTTGGCTATCAACTAAGTTTTTAATTCATTATGTAGTAGATTTTTGTGCAGTAAAAAGTAAATATTATATACTTTAAAAATTGAGCACGAAAATCTATTTTCCGTTATACTTAAACGCTTAGACGTCGAAATCGTAAAAAAATGGATGTACAATGATTAAAATTAATAATCAACATTAATATAGTGAAATAGGTAACTAACTCGTTTACATGAAAAAAATGTATAATTATTACTTAGAAAGTTACAATAGTGAAAAAATTGCAGTACATACAATTTGAAGAACTACTATTAAAGTTAGATTTGTATGTATCGTATTATTTACAGTACTATTTATATTTTTCATTTTCAAAGGATTTGCCAATAAAATGCTTTATAAAAAATTTTACTAGTCCTTCTTCACGATTTTTGTAGAGATACTCGAATTTTTATTTCATCATTTAAATTTATGATTAATAAAATATTTTTTTAATTATAATTAAAACTTCATTTACATTTAAAAGATGCAATGAAACTTTTTTTCCCCCACATTTTTCATGTAATTGAGAAACGATTACTTTGACTACTGAAAAATGTGTAATATAAATAAATACTCATTTAATAGCGGTGCTATCTTAATGCACAAGATGTTCTATAAACATGATCTTATGAGAAAGTATATCAAAACACAGGCATAGAATGCGTTCATCTCATTCAAAATTGAAACTTCAAAGAAGAAACAGGCTAAATGTTGTCTCACGTGAATTCGAATGAGTTATTGCTTTTGTTATGCTGCTCATTACGCCTCTCATTGATCAACGACTCAGACAGCTCTCTGAGAATTTCACTAGTCTGCTTAGAATTTGTGTGCACATTCTTGAGATGCGCGATGTACGTTTTCTGTGATACAATAATCTTGTGACACACTCGACATCTAAACTTCTTAGTATCAACCTTCTTTGATGTGGATAGCTGCTCTGGGGCTGGCTGTATGCACGGCACTTCCGTTGACTGCGTGCACTGTTCTTGGATCTGCATATGTTGCTCTTGCATGTGCTGAGTGCGCTCATCAATTGTCACAAAGGAATCAGTGCACAAGTAGCAGTCAAAGTGATGCTTTTTACTGGGCTGCTGATTTTGTTCTTGTTCAACTGTTTCATGCGTGGCAATATGTTCCCTGTGAAATTTCAATTTGACATTAACAAAAAATCATGTACCTAAACTTATTCACTAATTGATGTATGATTCGTACGCATCACTTTAGTTAAGAATTTATTATGCATAACAAATATGTTGACTACATGACACTGTTATTTTTTAATAATGAAATTTAAATATAAAAAAAAACAAACCTAAGTAATTCTTTCTTAATGAAGCCTTTTTTACAATAGCGACAGAGATGACTAGGATGCATCATGATATGTTCAACCAATTCTTTTTTGGACAATCTCATGCCACAAGTTTCACACTTTGAAGGTTTGAATAAAAGATGTTTCCCATGTTCCTTATTTATATGAATCTGAAGACTCTCTTTATCATTGAATTTTAATGGACATATCATACAAGTCAAGTAAGCATCAGTCACGTGAGTTCGTAAGTGATAGAGTATAGCTTGAAATTGGTAGAACTGCTTCGGACACTTCTGGCACTTGAGCTTTCGCAGGTTTACATGGGCATCACGAAGATGTCGCCTTTAAATGAGCAATATTTATGAATTGATGAATAAAATATCATTTTACCAATTACTGGGTTGATTTTTAACATACTAGATAACTTACCTAAGCGATTCTTCAGTATAAAAGCAGTTAGAGCAAAAAACACAAATAAGACAGTGAATATCTTCATGAATATATATGTGATCCACAAGATCACGATTTGATGAGAAACTCTCATGACAAATCGGACAAAAGTAGTTGGTTTGATCTGGCTTTAAATGACATTCAAGTTTATGTTTCAATACCTCAGTATGGGATTCGAATGAACCCGAACAAATTGTGCATATTTCAGGAAAATTTAAAGTTGCATACTTCATCACAACGTTCATTCTATTTTCTAGTGTATTTTGATACTCTTCATTGGGTGGTATGGATGGTAAAGAATTCATTCTTACTTTTGGAACATTGCCTGTCTCATAAGTTTTTTCCTCAACTGAATTGTACTGCGGGCTACTGTCTTCTACCACAATCGGTGTGCTCACTGATTGATTAGTTATTTCCATGTAATGCAAGTCTTCATCAATATACTCATCCTCCTCTTTAAATACCACTTTCTTGGGTACTTTGGACAAAGACTGGCTAAACATATCCTCATCATCTGTTCTTCTTTTAGTAACTCTTCTTGCTACTGACTCATCAACATGCACAATTTCTTCTTTAACATACTCAGTGTCATAGAAGCGATTTTTAGGGGGTTTACGTGAATATTTACTCGAATATTTACATGAATCGTCAGATAAAATAACTGATGACCTTTCTTCAAAATCAGACAGATTAGCTTCCTGTTAGAAAAATCAATTCAGGGGTACAGTCAAAATTTCATTTTGTAAAATAATTAATAACACAGATGTAAATAAATAAATACCTCTTTGACTGTTGGACACTCATACTTAATGGCTGAAAGATTTTTGTAAATATTTTCTTTTGATTCTGATGGTAGGATTTCTACAGATTTCACTTTGACACCTGAACTCTTTTTGTGATCTTGTTTTGACTTATATCTTTGTTTTTTAGTATTTTCATATTCTATCCTAGCTTCTTCGGATACATACTCTACATGATATTCGTCTTCACTCGAAGATTCTGAATGAACAAAATTCGATTTGTATCCATTGTCGATAAAAAAAAAATCACTTTTATAAAATTAACTTTCCATGGTTTGAGAATACTTACCAGAACGAAAAGCAGCTGGGTCGTTATCTTCCACAGTGTTCAGTAATTGACCGACATTCTTAAAACTTGGTAAGGAATTCTGCAGCGATTGTTTGAGCTTAATTTCTGCCATCTCACACTGATCCTTAAAACAATGTAAGGAGTCGACAAGAAATATACACTTTTTGCATATCATTTTAGGGAGTTTGTCATCCTTCTGAACCTAGAATCAAATCGTTTCTTTTAGCCTTTTTCTAGTGATTCACTTTAACTAGTATATTAAGCCTAAGTGAAACATCTACTTGAAGGAAAAAAATTATAGCCACAGTGATAAACGACTTCACTAAAGCGATAAAAAATTGTACTATTAATACATTGCAACAATGTAAGCTTTGTGCAATCAATAAAACTACGTTAAGTACTGTAAGCTCTAAATGATAAAAATTTGTAAAAAAAAAAATGTTCAAGCCAACACACTTTAATATAATAAACCATGACTCGAAACACTGCGTAGATTAGCCAATTCCAATGTCCCAAGAACTTAATCAACAAACTTGCCAATCAATAAGTAAGTATATGCTAAATGTTCTTCGAAATCCCGAAACACCAAAAAATGGTCACATAATAATAATGAGCACTGCAAAGTATTAGAGGGAAAAAAAGAGCGCGACGCCAAAACAATCGCAACCTAACCTCAATTCTGATAGTGCTGAGGAGCTTATCTGGCAAGTTGTCCACGTAAGAGTTGCCGGAGAAGATGGGCACGAGGTCGCCACACTCGGCCAGGCACGTTCTGCAGCACACCCGCTGCGACATCATCTTCGAAGCCGTGGGTGCACGAGTACGCACAATTTGCCGTTTCACCGATAAACCTTGAAAAATTCGTCGCCGCAACGAGTTCTATGATAAAGGAAACGAACGTCCATTACCTAGACCCGCGCGCTGTTTCCCGCATCATCACAACAACACCCGTATGTAAACTATACGTAACGTAACTGCGTGGGCGCCATAAGCGGCGTATAAGCGCCAAATATTGCGAATGGCCCTATTCCGCGTGGTCCTCGTGTCTTTGGTCCGGAATCCACATACGTAACGATCGACGCGCGCAGGCGCTCCTGTTCGTTCCGTCGACGCGCGCATTATTTGAAACGCACGAGTGATTTAGATTTTTACTTGATAGTTAAGTAATTGTTAATTCATAATAGTCAGATTAAATAATACAAAAGAATCAAAGACAAAAATAAGGGCCAACTTACAATGCTGCATACGCGAATTCAATGTTTATCTTTTTTACTCACATTTTTTGATAAAGTATAGGAGAACATATATGCGTGAGAAATTGCAAATCCAGTTATCATAATTATAATTAATAATTAATAATGAAAAATAATTCGAATGACGAAAAAAGTTATTTTTACCTTTTTCTTGCTCCTTCACTGTAATTATAATTGAAAACACTTCTTAATGCTAAGAATCATGATTATTTTTAAAAAATGAAATACTTTTTAAACATATTTATGAGACACTTAAAAATATTTGGTACATAATTAAGTGTATTTAAAAAAATATACAACGTCAATTAATGATATTAATAACGAGAGAGAAAGGTAAAAAGATATTAAAATCATACGAGAATGCCTTTTTTGTCAGAAGTCTAAAAATAATTTGGTTTTTTAAAGCCCTGTGTTATTAATTTTATAATAATTTAACTGATATTAAAATATATCTTAAATGTTGCAGGTGAAAGAAAGTATTGCTTGCGGTTGCTATATAAAAGTTTTTATTTTGTATACTTAAAAATTATAATACGTAACTTAGAACTTGATGCAATATTTTAAAAATTTAATGAACGTAATGATTGCTTTACTTAATATTAGATCCATATTTTTTTTTAACATATATATTGAGTATTAATATTCTTATCGCTTTCTAAAACATCACAAGTGATCAAATTCTCACTTTTGCCAGCTTTCAAGTCACATTTTTAAATTTTTTTGTAGTTTTCAATCATTATTTGTATTTACATTGAAAACAAAATTTCAATCTATAAAATAAATTAAAAATAATTTTTACCTATCTTCACCACGTTTCTTCGAAAAATATTGTTCTATCGATAATACAATTTATTTTTATTAAATCAAAAACTTATGTCTGGATCTAAATTTACTAAATGTTTCGTTGGAATGTTAAAACTTTTACATCAGATTACAATTGATCAGTAATAACATCACAACATTTTTTAGATAATTTATACCAACAGCGATTTATACATCTGTAATTAAATGTTTTATTTACATGCATATTCGTAGTTTTTCTTAAAATTTTATTTGATGAATAATGAAAAAAGAATTTAACATTTTTCACACTTCTTGTTCGCCAGTAATAACATTTGTGCCTATCGTAAAATACTATTCACTAGATAATACTATACACTACTATACATTGAAAATAATGATTCTCACTCGAAGGTACGGAATGAGTATCTAATTATTCATAGTATCCTTTTAATTCAACATTTTACCAGACAACTTGTAAGTGTACTAAAAAAAAATACTTGTATCTTTCAAAAGTACACGATCGTAAATACCATTCAGATTATATTTTACAAAAAAAAAAAAAATGTGTGTTTCATCATCAATTATCATTTGTAAAATCGTTATGAAAGTGTACCATTAGTCCAATTTCCGCGAAATCCTCGCCAAATCCTCGCGAACTTTCCTTAAGTATAAATTTACGCGTACATGTACCTCGTGAATCAGTGGTAAATATCGGAATGAAAGCACCATTGAAAAACAACCCCGTGCGGATCTCCGTAAAATTGAAGAAACAAAACCTGTCCCTCGCAAAAACCAAACTCTTTTTCCTCCCGATGGAAGGGTGAGGAAAAAAAAAAAAAAAAAGAAAAAAAAACTTGTTCTCAAGGAAACAAATGGCCGTTCCAAAATTATTTTCACAACACCCCTGACGCAACCAGCCATTACACAAATCGACCGACCACGAGAAACAATATATTTTTCTTAAAAAAAAAACACCAAGACTCCGCTATACGTATACGCACAGGGAATGAACGACACGGAAGGGGGCGAGGGTTGTAAAATACATCACGGACATCCACAAGCTCTTCGGTCCATGTCGTCGAATGAAGCTTGACCTTCAGACGGCCACGGCCACCATCTGCGGCTCGTGTTCCTCGCTGACGGGCGTCGACGGGGCCTCGGTTATCGGGGTCGGCGGGTCACCACTGCTGCCCGGATGCTCGGTCGTTCCTGTAACTCGGGAGGGAGCGAGGTTGGGACAAGAAAATTAGTTCTCCGTATATATATATGCCCTCTCAAGCCCTCGAGTTTACCTCAGGACGGGGGTGTATTTTTTTTTTTTTTTTTTTTTTTTCACTTTCCCCTTTGCTTGGGATTGGTTTGCTTGACAGTGATAAAAATAGGGGCACTCGCACGGAGGAGAAATCAGAAATCAGGGAGTACTCGTGATGGATCTAAATAATTATGAATAATAAATAAATAAGTACCTGTGAAGGAGCTGGCTCGGCTGCGTACTGGCCAGCAGAAGCGGCAGATCGGCTTGAGGAGGGGAAATCGAGGCCGGGGCACCCTCAGCAGGACGTAGATGTACGGATCCAAGGAGAAGTGCAGGCACAGGAGGACGTCGGCCACTTTTTGGAAACCCGCTATCAACTTGGACGCGACGAGTTTCAGGCCCGGCGTGTTTTTCTTGTATTGGCCCAGTGGTATGGATATCTGCGAGCCATCGGTAACGATTATTTTTTTATACTGCCTCGGGGTTTTTTTTTTTTTTTTCTTTTCCACGGAATTTCATTTACCCAAGTATTAGCGAGTATTACACCAAAGTGTGCGCACGACAGGACGTTGCGTCGCCCACAATGGCAAAGTACAAGGGTTCGCGAGCTATATCCTTTACCAGGTAAAAGTATACTTGGGTACTCCATACCGATCGCACGAATAACAATTCCGTTTAAGGCGCTCTCGGGCACTTGACGGTCGACGGTGCACGCGTGTAAGAGAGAGAGACTCGGTACGTGAGAAGACGATCAAAACAAACAAATGCCGATAAGTGGATTTAGCTCCGGAAGTGAGCCGCTCGCCTGAGCTGAATCTCAAACGATCCCGGGTTTTCGGCGCGAAACGTGAGTTGTACGTACTGCGATCAAGATTTACTCGAACTTTCGCACTGAGTTATTGAACAGAGAATAAAATATTTCGGGAAAAAACCTAATTTTTCACTGTACGGATTTTGATTGATTGAAATTTAACGAGCCGTCATAGGTTCCACTGTAAAGATATAATGCATCCCATTCAGGTCGCACAAGCAGATGATCAAAGTCTCAGTCGAGCAAAAAGAAAAAATATATTATCGATACATTGTTCGCTGGATACGTAACCATATATTATTATTATTATTATTATAGGCATGCCTTTTTTGTTTTCATCGCTACACTGTCATGATCCTACTGTGATTAACGAATCGTCTATCATCCAATGAAGAGATCGGTATAGTATCAGGTAAAAATACAGCGGAGTGCTGATATAAAAAATTATGAAATATGAATCTACAACAACAAGTTTGTTATTACAGCATCGAACGGAAAACATAACTGTATACGAGCAGCGTATATAAGTATACCTGTGTATGTAATATTATGCGCCGAGCGCATTTCCTGTTCTATCGCACGTGTCTCACGCGCATATATGGACGTAACGAGGCGCGAAGGCGTCCGTACACAGGAAGGAAAAGCTCGTAAATACGAATCGAGCTCCGTCGTGTTGCATGTGGCATTTATGTTTTCGTGCTTGTGTGACATGACAGCCGAGTGCATAGTTTTATATTTACAGAGACGTGTTTATATGTAAGCGCTAGTGTGGATGATTATTTTTGCCATCTAAATGGTAACTTGGTGTTTACGAGAGGATACTTTTTTTCGCCCTAAGGGGCAAAGACAAGGTAAGAGTGGAATGGTAATCGAGATTTAAAGATTACAGGTACCGAAGCGCTGCCGAGAAAAAATATAGGGTAATCCAAGATTACGTTAGTGACGAATGTGGCTGTTTAATTATGCCATGATTAGATGTTCGCTTATCGCTGCAACTTATGCGTAAAAAGTACAGTCAATTTTAGGCAGCTTCTGCACGATGGATCTAACGTACAATTTTTTTCTTTGTCAATTTTGCGAATGCGTGGGTGCCTTTGTTTCTCTCTTGTGAAATAAAAAGCCACAGTGTCTCTCGTATAGACTCCTTGGTGTTATAAAACAAGAAAATAAATTATTTTTTCTGCAGCTTCGAAGGTACAACGAAAATGTTTCAACGTAAATTAAATGACGCGTTACGCTTTTATCGCATCTCTTTTTATTGTGTAAAATTTTCGAATTTTATTTTTCTTACTTCTGTGGGAGAAAAAACAAAAATTTTATTTTCTCTTGTTTATTGATGAAAGAGATTACATTTTCAATTCAAAAATTATAGAAAACTATACCTGAGATTTTCACAAAAAACGTAAACAATCTTAGCTTCGCTTGGTTCATTTCATCTTGACAAGATATGTTTTTATACTGCTAGAGATACGTGGAAAATAAAAATCTTGTTTGTGGCATCACTTATGTGCTACACGACGTATGTGCAAACGCACTTGGGCGCATCACGTGCCAATGGTCGCTAATTAAGTATTCGATCAACGCCACCACGCAGCAGAAGGGATTTGAATAACGGATGTGAGGGAAAAAATGCCGAGCTGTTGGAGTGAGAAAAAAAAAAATTGTATGGCTGATCTTAAAATTTACTGAATATTACTCGTGCAGAGGTGAATGTACAGGGGACAGATGAATTGTGTTCACGTACGATTGATTTCATGATAAATTGTAGAAAATTAAGCTTAAGTAATATGAAATTGTATTCCTCGTAGGATATGTGCACTCCTACGAACAACAAAACAAAAAGGGAAAAAAGAGCACGTCACGTGTGTCTCGTCGTTGAACGTCACGTGATGGGAGACTTTGCATCATTTGTGTGTAAGAAGCGTACACATGTAATTGTAAGTACTTATAGACGTTCTAAGAAAAAAAAACATGCAAGAGAGAAATAAAATTAGTCAACTTACAACGTTGTACAACTTACATTTGTGATTTTACTCCATACTAATCTCTCGTCATACTTTCAAATGATAGATAAAAAATACGAGTAATTACTAATTATTATTTTAAGTCATAACTTTTCATTGTGAACTGCAAAAATATTACAACTAAATATAAATAATAATAATCATTTAATTATACAATAGGGTATGCAATGATTATAAACTTTGCAATTATGATCTACGTGTAAGGAAAAGCTCTGTGTCCGCGTGCGATCCATCCGAAAATTCAAGTTAACTTTATTGGGACTATATTTTGTACTTCATACATACGTACACCTACTCGTAACGGTAAGTAGCTTCTTCAAGCGTGACTATTTTTCTATGCGTTGGTGACTCCATTTGCCGCGAATAATTCATTCGATTATCGTACGTGAGGTGATTTAATTGTCGCGCGATACTTATTATTTTTCTATCGTTTTCAATCGTACAAATGATATTCTGATGTAAAAGAAAAAAAGCTATACATATATTACACGTGGCAGTAAGATTTTAAGTTCAACGCGCACGTCCTTACTTGTCGAGGTACAAAAATTTCGGCCTTCAAAGTCAAAAGGATATAGTTTCGCAATGTCTGACCATATCGCGCTTGTACTACTTGTTTCAACGACAGAGTCTCGATTGAAACCCTCAAACGTGATTTATCAATATGAATGCCGTAATAAGTGATTAATATGGACGAATGGGCGTCGACAGGCGAATAAAAAATTCCGCAAGGAAGAAGAGCAACGAAGTAACAAGCATATCAATAACGTAAATCGAATAGCCTGTCGAAATGATCGCCACGCTCCTGTGGCCATGCGACAGCGTATATTACTGATTTTTGTCGTTTCCATGAGCTTCAACATCCTTCGATGACTATATATACTTATTGTATTTGCAGCAAGGAAAAATGAGAGGCCAGAGGCAACCCGGATAGCGAAAGCCATTCAAAAGGTACAAGCAAACGACACAAAGCGCGGGGGGAAGGAACTCGATCGGAGACAAAATAGGGCAGTCAAGGAGACCCTATACGCATTTGCCGAAACGAGATTCGAGGGATGAAACGATGCCGTATAGAGGGAGAAACGTGTGGGAGGAAATAAATACCACAGGCAGGTGTGTGTATACGGACACACGGGGGATGGGGTGGTATATGGGTGGTTTGGTGACATTGTGCGAACGGCTGAGGGAGACGTGATGTTATGGCATTCCAAGTCGACGTGCATTCAATATCGCCAGTGTACAAAAATAGCTCGTTCCTCGAGCAACAAACCCTCCTAAACAGATATATCATTCGATTAATAAATTACTTTGGGACTGATAATTCCACTTACACCCAATTACAACCCCGACAGTCAGACTCTTTAACCCCATCCATCGTAGCCTTTTTCCTAATATGTACGCTTCAATCAGCGCACAGACGCGGAATCCTCGAGAGACACCCTCCGAGATGTACCCCCTTCTGATTGGACTCCACCACCTACGCTCGGGCGCGTGTGGCTAATACAAAATGGGCTAAAAGACGGGATATTAGAAGAAGAAGAAGAAGAAAAAAAAAAAGATAGATGAAACTCTCACCATCTGTGGCATCCAGCATATGAGGAAGGATATCGAGAGCAGAGCCATGAGTTTGGCGAAGGCCCGTTCCTCGGCGGTGATGCCGACCTCGGCCGGTGGCTGGGCCACGTTGAGCAGAGGCTTCGCTCGCGACGAGGCCCGCGAGATTCGTCTCAGCGAGCCGTTGCGTCGGCCTAGGCGTTTCAGCGCCCGAGCCACCGCCAAGTTGCACCAGACGATCGACAGACAGAGTACGCTACCTACATGTGTGCGTGTGGTGCTCGAGGTTAAAAAAGTGTTTTTCTTTCATTGGGGGGGGAGTCACTCACCGAAGAAGAACCAGACGTAGGCGTAGGCGACGTCGATGGGCTCGTGAGCGTCTCTGTAGCGCACGCACACGAGGCCTTCGTTGGTCATCTCTTGGTAAACGCCGAATCCGACGAACGGCAGGAAGGTGAGGGTTAAGGCGACCAGCCACAGGAGTACCATGCACCGCACGATCATCGGGTACGTTACCTGCTAAACATCAGTAAGATGTATTTGCGATATTTGTGCACTCACTAATGTGTTCATTTTTTAAATTTATAATAATAGTAAATATTATTACCAATTATTATATTTGTTTTATTGTCAATATTTTATATTTATATGTTTCTAGTAAAATTTTTCCATAACGAATGTACATCGATTTTCTAGCGATTGTCCAATTTTCCACTTCACGTATTTATCGGTACTTTTAAAGCTGCTATAATTTTGTTTTCACGTCACATAGCAAGAAATCGGGAAATTATTTTATGATGCAGTAACACGGTGAAATAAGTTGCTGAATCAGCAGTAAGTAAGTAAACCCAAGCGAGAAAAAAAATCCAAGTGTCAAAAACAGTGTCAATCCAACGACATCATAATCAATAAATGTCAAGATTCCAGGAATAATTTGATTCTCATATAAGTCGTACTCAAAGAAGCTCAACAGCTGCAAAAACAATCCCATTCATGACTGCAGCAATCGAACGGCAATCGGTTGTACGTGTGGGCACTCACGCAGTCGGTCCCTCGCTAATAATATTATCGACCATCGATTTATCATGCACCGAAGCTCGCCCAAAAAGTATATAATATACGCACATATGCGTTCGCATATCGGTCGTTTTCCAAAATAGATACCTCCGATACGCTCGTTTTTACTTGACGCGCTCCCGTCGGGCGGAGAACCTTGACTCAGAAATTACGAACTCTACGCTGCTGTCAGCCGTTAAGTGTGTCAATGTAAAGGCTGCACACATGGTGTGTACGCAATGTGAGAGTTACTTATATTTGGTTTTTTTTTATTTCATTTGATTTACTGAACAATAATTTTGTAAGCTGTGGGTTATTGTCCATTTTTAGTTCACACATTTTTTTGGGTATAATAAACTTTTATTCCATGCTGATCTCCTACGTTCGCTAATAAAAAAAAAAAAAAGGTTTACCCGTTACACCGAAGCGAGGGTGATTCGTTACTTTATCGAGCTGATTTTATCTCTATGTGCTACTGTTTGCATAATTGACGCGACAGTTTGTACATTAGACGAGTACTTTTACCGAGTTTTCTGGAAATAGACTTTTTTTTTTTTCTTAATTCTGACGTGACTTAATAAGAGGTGAATGGGACGTCTAATTTTTTTCGTACAACGCAACTTCGATCGCCAAAAAAAATCTCCCAGTGCGTCAAACATTTATCTCTCGAATCTTTCTGCCCACCTGATTGAGAGTAATTTATTTTGTGCTTTCTAAAGGATTTTTTGAAATTTAGGTAAATCAACATAATTGATAGTGATAACAAATACGAAAAAGGAACTTTTGAACTGAATGTAAAATGAACGGAATGGTTTTGTCATGCAAGTACTTGAAGAAAGAAGAAGTCAATACTTTCTTGGAAAAGAAAAAAAACATTAACTTTGACTGCCGAAAAAAATAGCCCATTCACAAGTAAGCGAGGAGCACAAAAATGTGGGAAGAATGATTCATAAATGGCTTTAAATTCTACGGTTTTTTCCTTCGTTACATTACAATATTTGGATATTCAAGAAATTAAATATGATAGCCATAGTTTTTCTACTTGTAAAAATAGTAATAAAAAATTATATACGTGCTTTTTATATTATATACATCGTACTACTACGCAATTGCCATACGTTTCGATAAAATTACTTATACACACAATATATTGGAACTATAATTGATTGCAGTACATCGAAGTGGTTGAACTTGGGAGCCAAATTCGTTATAGTCAGGGACAATCTTCAATTTATTTGAATTAGTGTCGATGATCGATATATGCCTGCTGAAAGCATTAATTCTATAAAAAATTAATAGAAATTGATTTCAGTTTCTATTTAGATTAAAAAATAAAAATAAATTTAATAGTGTTTTTAGCAAAAAAAAAAGTTTGGAAAGATTATTTCAAAAAAAAAAAAAAATCATTAAAAACATTTTTGCAAAAATGAATTGATTACAGGTCGAATTCGAATTGACTTAAACTTATTCCAATATTGAAATGATACAAAGTTATAAAATCTTATAAGTACTCAAGCAATAATAACACCAAAATATCTTTGTATATACCTACACGGTTTGTGTATTTACTTAAATAAGTTGTTTGTAATCAGATATTTTCATTCATGCAACCAGTTTGTGAATACATGTACCGCATTTGTTGTTTTAAGTCCATTTTTACTTAATATTTTATTTCTTAAGGTGGATCTAGAAATGATCGTCAACCATAAAATATTCAATCATTTTTTTTAGTACAAAACTAAAATTTGCCTTGTCACTATTTTAAAGTTAACTGTGGAAAAAATAAATTTAATGGATTCAATATTACACATTTAGTTGAAGTATCGGACATACGAGATAACATTCCGTAATAACAATATTTGTTGATGTGAGTCATCAGTATACGGTTCTTTCGCATCGAACTGAATATTCATCTATGCTTATTGAATGTAAATTTAAAAAAAAATAAATAAATAAAGCGTTAAAGCTACTATGCACCAACTATTAATCGTTCGATCAGCAAAATTTAAGGTCATACACTAACAATTTTTCTCGCAAGTCCAAGTTTTGAGGGTCAATACAATATTCATCCAATTTATCTTAGTTTGATTATTCAAGTAAACAGTCAGCAGCAAAATTGTGAGCCAATGTTTTCATTGAAAATTGGGCAAAGTTAAAAATTGTTCATCATGAATGATAACATTTTATCGTGTCTGACGTCGACTGGTGATCTTTTTTTTTTACTACTTATGCGTGTCTCTTCTCCATTTTACACAGTTAAATTTTAGGATACATAATTTTGCGTATTATATTTATTAAATAATCAATTTACTATTTATAGTTTTATTGGTATAGTATGATGGTAAATAAACTATTTACGATGCTTAAGCATAATTTGTTAAATTTTTTACTTTTGATGTAATGGTATAGGTGAATCCATAAGCAATTGAATTTCGAACAAAAGATCCGATTACCAGACTGTCACGTTATCATATTTGTATTTTTTTTTTTTTTTTTTTTTTCTAGAGTTTTTTATGTGTTACACAATAAATTTAAGAAACTCAGTGAAATTTTTATGTTATATTTACACAAATAAGAAAAAAAAAAACTATTGATGAACATGACTAGTGAAGTGTAAAAAACATTGAATGATAGCTAAAAGCCAGCAAGTATAAACCATAAAATTCACTATTTTGTCCAAATTAAACGATTAATTGGTCCATCCAACATTACCAAAAAAAAAGAAAAAAAAAAAAAAATACCTAATCAATGAAAGTAACGTCAAAAACAGATAAATCGATATCATTTTGTTTTATTCCTTGCCAATGTAACTTTTACAACTGAAAATCCCAACAATAACAATTGATCGTTTTTCTTTTTTGTATATACATTGCATTCATTTTTAATTTTATCATTCTGAGTAAGTATATTTGGTTGAACCATTATAAAAAATGATAGGTATCGTATGATTTAAAAAAAAACCCTGTTTCTCACCTGTATCATTTCTCAAACGTCATTCTGCATAATTTAGCCAGGATAAATATCACACGTGCCTCTAAGCTCTAGAGGTCAGGTCATCGTCCTTTATAGGTATGGTTTACCCACGAACGTTAAGGACAACGCGGTCGAAATTCTTATTTGCCATAAAGAGTCTCCCTCCACCATTTATTTCCCGTAAAATTACGGAAGATATTTATTTCCCAAACGTGAGCTTATAAGTTCATATGTATACATCCCGGAAAAGCTGTCCACAAAAAAGCTCTGGGCAAGGATACAGTGTAAACCATTTCAACCTGGGTGATGGTGATGATAAACCCAAGAGAAGACGGTATAGATATATAGGACCGTGCATGGTAATGCGTGGTATTTTCCCAGATTGCTCGGGGTGCCCAAAAGCTCTTTTGTTCTACCATTGCTATAAATGTATCCTAAACCACGAGGACACTTTTTTTTTGTTGGTCAAGTTTTCGTGCGAGTAGTTGGTAATAATTTTAAACTTTAGAACTGTGTAACTATCATGTACCTTTCAAATTGTTTAAATTTGAAGGAAAAAAGCCATAAATCGATAGATCATCCAGACAAAAAACAGAATACCCGTTAAACCTTACCTTCTGGTAGGCGAAGGGTCTCGTAAGGGCGAGCCACCTCTCCGCGGCCATGACGATGGCCACGCAACCGCTGAATAGTCCAAAGAGCCGCCAAACGACGTGCAGGGCGCACAGGTTGTAATGGCCCTGCCAGTACCTCGATACGTACATTTGCACCCAAGTGCCGAGCATCGCTATCAGATCGTTGATCGTCAGGCAGCGCAGCATCAGCAAGTGCTTCCGGTTTCTCCGCTGGATGTTCAAGCGCGTGCGTACAGTGTTCCAGTCGGAAAAGCGAGAAGAAAAAAATGAGAGAGAAAACATTAGCTCTGGCATTTTCTTAACTTTTGTGAATCATAACACAATCGGTAGCTCCGATCGTTTATTCGATGTTCGATTCTCGTGGCGTCCGACTGGTGTGACGGGAGATTTTATCGCGTTGCCGCTCGCTGTACCCGTATACAGCGTGGGTGGCGGTCTTTTTCAGAAGGGGACCCTTTTTCTTTATGTCTTCCGCGTGGCGACGCTTCGCGCATTTTTCGCCTATCATATATATTTACATCCTGGGTGATGGAGTTCGTTTTATTTTCGTCCTTCGTAGGGTGGATGTGCGGTGGATCGTTTCATCTTCGGAAGTACGTGATTTTCTGTAGATTTTGCAAGAGATGTGTCGTTGGGGTACGTGGGGTGCATGCCGATAGGAGATCGGTATGTATTTGAATGAGAAAGACGATAAATTAAATTTTGTTTTACGCGACGAAATCGTGTACGTCTCCATTGATTGAAAAGCAAAATTATTTTGTTTCGCTGTTACATCGACGTGGTTCGTTGTCGTATTCAAAAGTAATCATCTTACTTACAGTTGATTCAAAATATTACCGATATTTGCGTCGTGACTTATACAAAAAGTTTGTTTTCCCACAAACAGATTAGGAAAGTAATCGAGGCGAGGATCATTTGAAAATCTTACCCAATACCACCGCACACACGGGCTTCGGGCTTAGGAGGATCAGAACTAGCATTATTTTTACGTGCCGTGGGGCAAGTAACTTATACCCTGAGGATACTAATCGATCGATATTGGCGCAAAAACAACAAACGCACGCCTATCTTTTACCTTGTCCTTGTGCAAGAGGATGATGAGGGCGGAGATGTTGCCGACGATGCCGATCGCGCAGACAAAGGTCAAAATGATGAACGTCAACAGGGGGATGGGTGCCGATTTTTTGATCGGTATACCAGTGCCGTTGACACCCACGACTTGTGAGAACATCGATGCGATCAACTCGGTTGCGTTCTCCATTTTTTTTTCTTTTTCGTAGTTTTTACACCTGTGATCGGTAATGACGACTAGACCTCGTGAGCTTTTTACCCTTCGTCATTCGAGATTTGTCTTCTCTGTTGACGGTTCGTCCTCTTACACTTGAAAAATCGGACGCGCGAACAAATTACAGTGCACTTTTGTCCTTCGCAACTTTTATCTTTGGTTTCATTTGACTATTTGTGTTGGTAGCGACAATCTCTCTCACTGCGGTGAAATCTATATCACCCGATCACCGTCGAATCGTCCGCACTACGCTGCACTTTTAAAAAAAAAGCACCGAGCATCCGAACTGCATTGTTCCGAAAGTCCGTCACAACTCGAACTTGATTTATGTTGAAAAAAAAAAAAAAAAAAAAAAATCTCTACTCGAAATTCCAAGTGGACGCGACGGACATGGTCGAAGAAGGTGAGAGTGTGCTTTTGAAGCTGCGTGCGAGTGGTGAGTCTCGTGGCGCGGTTTTTGCCTCACTGAACTCGAGCCACGAGGTTCTACCGAGTTTTGTTTACAGCACGACTAAGACGACTACTCCACGGTGCGAGCGCACAGCCATGGGCTCGGCGTTTTCGTTGGAGACGCGCGCGCACATCCGATTTCTTTTGCTCCCCAGCCCCTCGCGCGTCTTATCTTTCTTCTTCTCCTTCTTCTCTTTCTCTATAACGCACATATAAATGCTGCGTAGGATCAGAAAGGTGTTTGATAATTTTTTTTTTTTTTTTTTTTTTTTAAATCCTGTAAGCTGTAGTTGATGTATCTTTTAAGTTTTTAAAAAAAGCTCGAAATAGAAAATTCTTATACTTCGTAAAGTAGATTTCTTAATAATTGGCTAAAGGTTTTTTACAACAGATGGCTCTATATGATGTGAAAGACATGAACAACTTTTTATGTCAGGGTTTACCAACTTTCTTATATTCAACATGTTTACATGAGAAAAAGAAATTGTTATTGTCAACGATCGTGAGCCACAATCGTATAGCTATTCACGCACTTTATTTTTAACCCATCGAGTGAATGAAAATAATGTCGTTTCACCACTCCGTCCTCTCGCAATATAAAAACTGCATCGTTAATTTGACAAGTTAAATGCCATTGGTTCAATAAAAAAATTTCCCCCGAGTAATTGGAAATTCTAATTCTCTTGTTTATTCTTGTCACGTTGAGAAAGTCATTGAATAAATGTAGGTGATTCAATTTACAAGATGCACCACTAATTGTACCTCCATTCAGACAAATCCACGCGAATGATGCTCGATTGAGCAGTACGTAATTTTCACCAACACCGAGTCTTTTTACAAATGACCATAGTCAAGGTTTTTTTTTTTTTTTTATTGAAACCCTCTCAGTGTGTTGTTGATTGAAATTACGAATAGATCATGGTAAATCGTCGACAGATGTCTTATCACGTTGACATAATAGAGAAAAGATGAAAATAATCGCGAGCTATTTCTCAGGTAAAATTTATATAATCTCTGAAGTATTGCTTTATGAATTCCTACAAAATGTCTTTTTCCGCACATCATTTTCGGGAATATATTTTTAAAATACGTAACAGCTTTTAATATGTTTTTTCCCGCCATTTTTTTTCAATTAAGGTACCGACGAGATTGAAAATAAACAGATGGCAAGGATGTCTCCTCCCAATGAAATATTAATACATTACAAAGTGCCCGAAAAAAATTCAAACCACTTTCGTAATACCACCGTCAGTTAGATGAAAAACAGTCTGAAATTATCGTTACACCTTTGAACACTCATTGTCTGGCAAAAGCCAATGCATTTGTTTTTTTTTTCTCGTTGCTGAACAAAGTGCCACACACACATCTTATTTTAACTATCTGCCAAAGCATTGTGTTGCTCATCAAGTAAACAAGTTTACGCGTGTTATAGCAAAACACGGAAGGTCAAAAGAAGGGGAGGCGCATTCAGAGGAGTTTCAACATCCCTCCTTCGTGATATGCCTTACATCCAGACGCGAGCCCTTTCATGTGACCCTGAAATTCGTATCGTTGGTCTCCAATAGTACCATCAGTAGAAACATTTTTTTTTTCTCTTCCGCATAATATACGCGGCGCACTCGATCAAACTCGGGCCACGCGCGTGTACCTACTCATATGAGCACGCGTGTATTTGACGCTCGGTAATCTTCCGTTATAAAAACGCGCCTTTTACGGGTTGCGTACGGGCATTTGTATGTACGCACAAGTGGTTGTAAGGTCAAGTTATTACGAGTATGGGTGAGCTGGACTCGATATATCGATCCCCCCCAGGCAGGTGGCACTTGCGGAAGTTGATATTATTAACTACACGCTTGTCTGGGCGATAAGGGCTGGAAGGGCTAAATGAGTTAATATGTACGGGGTTAACTGTTATTGACAAACGCTTAACTTTTTCTTGGTAGATATAGCTTTTTGTTATCTGTTAAATTGGCATGGTATGACTTTAAATTGATTTTGCCCAATAACACGTTACAAATAAAAATGCATTACAGGATTTATTTCGCAAATAATTAATTTTGTGTATGTTTAATTAAAAATTATTTTTATCGTTGGAAATCCCAAGTTTTTGTTTCTTGCTTCGTCAATGGAAAAGGTCTAATGTTCAGAATAAAATAAAATAAAGAGAAAAAAAAAACAAACAAAATTTCTGAGCTAACATTAGACGCAAAAATAGAAGGATTTTTTTTCCAAACAAGATATGTACAAGATTAATTTTTAAAGCGAACGATGTAAAAACCTGTAGGGAATAACATTCTAAGAGGGAGCTTTGTCCTAACGATTAGCGGTGGTTTTTTCCTTACCAGTTAGAAATTTCACGAATTTAACTTCCCAAAAAGTTAAAAAAAAAAAAAAAAAAGTATAAACGAAGATCAAGCAAATGGGCAGTGTGATATAAAAATCGTGGGCCATAAAATTTCTAAGCGTACGCGTGTATACGATATGGCTCCCGGATAGCGCTTGCACGGCTCCATAAAAATCGCTCGAAAGTGAATAAATACGAGGTGCAGGCAGCTTAGAACACCGAGCCAACGCAAACAGCCCATAACTCGCGTAGCGCCATTCTGCAACGACAATTCTATCGGCAACGTCATCACCACCATCGTTGTGCGAAATAAAATACGAGGCATCGTACATTTTGTATGCACAGAGCAGAGCCAATAATATGGTCTTGTCGAAAAACATCGTGCGCGATTCTCGTTGATTTCATCTCGATGCTTTTTCGGCTGGGCCGCACGTAAACTTGAAATGTTCGAGTTTGAAGAAGTACTTACTTATAAAACCTCATTAACTGTTGCAAAACAGTTTTTTTGCAATCTGTGAGAGTATCTTTGTTGTTTGCTCATCTCGCGTTATTTCTTTCTTCCAAATCATCAGCTAAACAAAAGTTTTAATTATTAAAAAAAAAAAAAAACCACACACACAGTTTCTCGAAAGTTCTGGAACAAAATTTTCAAATACACGAGACTTTCTGCAATGATATCCACAATGACATAAAGTCCGCTATGGATCGACGCGATTCTAAACACCCTCTTCTACACTTGCAAGCTATAGCAAACAAAGCAACAGCAAAACACAGGTGCGACACGAGGAGTCGTCTCTTCTGTATGCGAATCGCAAATTACCTGTGTACGAGGACGAAGAAAAAAAAAAAAAAAAAAAAAGGAGAGAGAAAGAGTATGTGTGTGCAAGAGGATAGAGAGAAAAGGAGGAGGTCTGAGCCTTTCGTATGAGGAATTCCAATCTCATGCATCTTTGGCCGGTCAGCCTATAAACATACAATGGACAATGCCGAAAGTAACGAGGAAATTCACTTGGACAACTCAGTCACGCCGGACATCGATTTTACAATTACAAATCGGCATGCTAATGCCGTACCTTTTTCTTCTTCCCACCCCCTCACTCTCTTTTTCTTTCATTTCTCCACTTATTTCCTTCATTCTGTCATAGATGGTGTACAACGATTGTCGTGGACCCGATACATACACTTTGTTATCTTTATTTCGAAATTCTAATCAAATTATGAAATTTTCTCTTTACGTGATTTGTTATCTTCACGATTTCTTCATCCTTAAACTACTTTGTGATCTTTTACATTATTACGTTAAACAATTGACTTGCATGTATCATCAGGATTAATCATGTTTTACCAAAATCAACTTTTGAGATTAACTGTTTCAAACAAACCCCTTATTCAGATGTAATAATGTGTTAATCTCAAATTTCAACAGATCTTGAAAAACTAGAATTTTCTTTTAACTCAAATTTCTTGATTATATTCATGTCGGAATAATTTTTCTTGCAACTTTTTACACATGATATACATTTTCTAATACATACCACATCGAAATACTGACTTGTTCAGAGACTATTTCTCTGACACTGGTACTTTTGAGGCTATATATATGTAATTAATCTGTATAAATACTAAAAATACAAAAAAACATAACGTTTTTCATTAAAAAGAATGTTACCGATCTTACTGGTATTTCTATGAATTTTCACTATTTATAAATTGTATAAGTCATAGATTTCTAATAAACATTACGCAACATTGAGTCCTATGTTATGGATATGAAATGGAAATTATAAATGTTTTGAGGTACACTTTGTCAAACGCAACAGAAACAATGACTACATATACTACTGTACACTAATTAGATTTACGAATATCATTACGAAAACAAAAGAATTAATCAGTGGAAAAGTAATCCAAGGACCGACTAACACAAGGTGTAAAAAAATTGAAAACTAATTATCTGTCGATGGAAAAAACATCCATGCACAGAAATGATAGTTTTCCTTTGATTAAGATTCAAAGGGGAGCTCTAAAAAAAATGTGAAATCAATTTTTTGAAATATTTTCCTAGGTAATTTCAACCACTTTTAGAAATCGAACCAAATCGAAGGCTGTTGTAAAGCTTAATGATGCCCAAGCACCGTATAAATAAATAAAATAATTTGTTTATTCTCCACACGCGAAATCATCATAAGTTTAGAAAAAGAGAGAAGCGTATAGTTTAACTACACAGAAGCACCACTCAGCTCCGCAATTGTCATGCCGGTGGCACATCCCTCTCAAAGTACATAAGCGGTTACGTTCGCTTGGCGTTGTATTACTTTTAATCGCATGCTCGCTATACACCTGCCGTTGCTGCGCGTCTTTTTTCCAATCGATTTTATTTTTAACACAACCAACGAGGCACTCGTGTACATATATAGTGGACAACGCGCACTCGGGTATATATACTCGCGTGAAAAATTTACAGCGATGCTGACGGCGATGATATTGTATATATATGCGACGTACACTTATCATGGGAATTGCTGTATTTCGCGGGAATGCTCGCATTAATATTTTTCATGTATACACCAACGTGCGCATCCGACCCGGAAATCGTACGTGGCCAGGCTGTTGTAATTTGAAGGCTCCTCTTTTTTTTTTTTTTTTTTTTTCGAGTTAGGTATATCCGGACGTAAGTGTACGCGCAAAACTGAATTTCAAGCCATTTTCGGGTACGTTTTTTTTTTTTATGGGTGTAAATAATCATATTATCAACTGTGAAATATTCACTAGATGCTCGTTTGAGAATCAGTATAGAAGTACATGAGACTTTATTTTGAAATTTTCGTAAATTATTTTCCATTTTTACACCAACAAGTATTTCCCTAGTGCATTAAATATGTGCCAGAAATCTTTTACCCTCTATTTTATAGTGTCAATTGTTTTAGAAAAAAGTAGTTGTCTGTGATAGAGCTGGTCAAATGGTTGATGAAAGGTCAATTTGTCTACTGACGAAGATTACATAAACACTACTGCAATGCACTGAGTAAATAATTGCAATTTTAATCATGTTTATGCTTTAAAAGTTGTGTTTTGATACATTTTGATTGATCCTGTGCTCGATCTTGCGTAAAAAGACTTTTTAAGGTACGTTTCGGTAAAACTTTTATATTCATTAGCTTATAATATGGCAATACTTAGTTTTACATAATCATTACTATGTTGTAAAATAAAAAATAAAAAAATAAATGAACGAATGCAGAAAAAATTTTAAAGACAATTTATTTTATCCAATTACACAACTGTAAGCGCGACAATCGCCTTGATGTCTCTTCCGCGTGCGCCTAACTGTTGATAACAGTATGTACACTCGTGCATACATACGTGCAATACCCATGGTCTAACTTCTAACTTTAGAATCATCCCAAAATACACAAACAGAATGGTGTACTGAGCTTGGCATTTCTGATTTTTCTTTCTCTTTCTTTTCTCCCTCAGTGCTATGCCAGCCTCGATCTGACTCGGTGACCTGTACCTTTTTTTTCTAGTACAAAAAAAACAACAACATTCTTTTAATAGTTCCTTCATCGACGAAGTATGGACATTATTGGTAATTATTAATTAAAACCGGCAAAAATTTCACCTCAAATTTAAGATCGTTATAATCGTAGAATACACAACTTTTCAACGGAATAAAGCAAAGCGTTGCAAAGTACAGTGTGGCGCTTCCTTATAAGGGACATTTTGTGCGGAGATTTTAATTTATCCAGAAAATTTTTTAACATTTATTGCTTCGATATAGTTGCAAAACACATTGAAGTTTAGGTGAAACTAGTGCTTTACGAAAGACCATCGTTACGATTGCCTGCCTACGTGATACTATTAATAGAATACATACTTCCAACGCTTTCTATATCCTACTTCGTGGCAAACGAAAATATGTAACAATCGTACGTTCAGTGAATTCACGGGTGAAATTTAATCAAATGCACGGTTAATTTAAATTAATATCTAGTGCCTCCTGTGCTGGAATAATTTTTCTTTTTTTCCATTGATTAAGTATTAAAATCTTGGTACAATCGCATGAGATGTCTTACAATTATCGATAATCAACCTGGATATCAACAGGTTTTAACATAATTACACGGTTTAACGTACATGCACGAGAAAAATCGGTAAGGGCAATCAAAGCACATTAGTAAGAATTTTTTCAGATTACTCGAGCAAATTCTCGGGAAATAAAAATTTATTAGTGTTGTAATATTCTCGGGGCAATAAAGAACATGAGTTACAAGTTGTATCATGTGAAATAAATAATATACACTTGAAAACAGTACTTATACCTCTCGCGAAAAATTGTGCCATTCATAGACAGTCTATGTTTCTTATAAATATCTATGGTGCCATTTAGGTACTATGCGCGCGCACGAAATATGGAAGCCCCCTCACGCGAGTTGTGTTTTTTTTTTTTTCGTGCGCGACAGAGAGCAGACGATTCGCTATATCGAACTCCGTTGTTTGATCCTTATATGTATAGACGCATAAGTGCCGCATATCATTTGATCTGCTTCCGTTTTTTCAAAAGTTTATTTTCACAGTGGACGAGATTTTTCTGGACAACAACGTCGCCGAGGAATTAAATAACGACAGAATGAACGCCGAGCCCCGGAAGGAAGTCGAAGTGAGTATTTACCACCGTTGTTTTGGTCTGCGAATCCGGTTCTCTAACCTCGAAATTATGATTTTTTTTTTACTGTATCTTTTATTCGTTTCATTTATCTTGTTTATAACTTTAATTATTTTTTATTGCATGTACTTTTGTAAATTTCAGCCAATTTTGTTTACTAGTAGTTGTCGTTTTCGATGCGGCAGATCATATTATGTAATTGCAGACGAGTGTTTCAAGCTACATTTCATTTGTTTATTTCTTTCGGTTTATTTAAGAATGTTTTTTAAAAAGTTGTTTGTTGTTGCATTGAAGTAATAATTTTGTTTTTTTGTGCTTAATAAAATTGTGTATCCACTTTTTTTTGAAGATCGCACCATCACCAATCAGAATAAAAGAAAAACGCAACAGCAAGGAAGAAAAATCAAAGAAAAAGGATGAGAGAAACATAGATCAGGTACTGAAAAGTCTGAGTGACTTGGATGCAGAGAAAAAGTTGAGTGCAGTGGCTAAAAAGTACATGGAAATCCTGGATGAAAATAGAAAGTTACAGCTACTGTTGAAGATGACAGAAAAAAAAGTCGTGGTGGTTCAACGAGAAAAGGACCAATGCGAGTCAGAAAGAAGTAAAGCTGTTTTAACAAGGAGTCGACTGGAAAGTCTGTGTCGCGAATTGCAAAGACAGAATAAGGCCATCAAGGAAGAAAGTATGCTGAAGATCAGGGAAGAGGAGGAAAAGAGAAAGGAAGTTTCAGCCAAATTTCAGAGTACACTGACGGAAATAACAGCTCTGATGACTGAAACAAATGAAAAGAATGTAAAGTTGCATGAAGACAACATGGATATACATAAAAAATTCAAAACAGTATTCGAGGAAATGGATGCTAGAGAAAAGCAGTTTGAAGAGATGCATACAATAATGAAAGAGGAGTTAAAATCCACGGAAGCAAGACTTGCCAAGGTTAATCTAGAAATGGCAGAAGAGAAGGAGAAATTGTTGAGAGAGAAAAGTCAGATGTTGATCGTAAGATTATTCATTTTTATTAATTACAGCTTACATTACAATAGGCACAATATTTTAATAAGTTATACATTTTTTTCAGACATTGACTGAATATCAAAAGAAAATAGTTGAACTGCAAAAAACAGAAGCAAACTTGCGTTCTCAGGTTGCTATGTACACGGATAAATATGCTGATTTTCAGACTGCTTTGTCAAAAAGTCATGAAGTCTTTGGCGAATTCAATAGTCAAATGGAAAAGGTCTTAAAAACATATTGAACCAAAAAATTGAATTTTGCTCATTTCAACATGTTAATAATTGAAAAAATGTCTTTCTCAACAGATGTCCAAAAAAATTTTAAAACTGGAAAAAGAAACAAACATGTGGAAAACACGATGGGAGAAAAATAACAATGCATTACTAGACATGGCAACGGAGAAACAAACGAGAGATGCTGAGATGGTTGCATTGAACAAAAAATGTTCACTTCTTCAAGAGTTGTGCAAAACTTTCCAACAAGAAAGGGCCAAATTAATAGCTCAGTTAAAAGAGAAATCGCAGAACAGCAATAATGAAAATTCAAATGACAACAATGCCACTAATCATCCAATTACAAATGGTTCAGATACTTTGAACGAAACAAACGACAAAGTTGCAGAACAAACCAAAGAAGAAAAGACTGAATCAACATGTCCTCTTATCCTTGAAAGCAAAGGAAATCCAGAAGTTTGTTGTCAAGAAATTGTAAATAGTTCAGATGAAAAAAAAAATTTAGTGTATATACCTCCAAAAACAAAAGAGAATGAACAAGTATCTGTTGACCCAGAAAACTGTATTCAAGCTAAAAGTTCTCCTTCTGAGCAGTTAGTAGAGCAAAATTCAGTTATTGCAAATGAAAGTACTCATAATACAGATGCAGTAACTGCAAATGGAGAAGTACATCTCGATTCTGCATCAAATAAAAAACACAAGGTATAAATTATTTTTTACTTTTTAACAAAAACAACGTTAATTCTTAAAATTGTTGAAAACGTCTTGAATAATTCTTTAGGAAGGAAAGAAGAAAAGGAAGTAAGTTTATTTCATGAAGTAACTAATTCATACACTGATCAAGTGAAAGATATAAAATTATTAGAGGTCGATCTGAGTCTTTTAGCCAGTAAGATTTTTGATAAAGGAGGAATTTGTATTTGTGAGTGTTCTTTTATAGAAATCAAGAATACCCATTGATATTGTGTCACTATATTTGTCAATAGATCTTGAATAGAGCTTTTTGAGGATTAAATCCTTTCATTCTAGTTCCTGTATTTTGTAATCATCTGGTTGTAATATTCAAACTCCCTATTTTATTCACAAAAATTTTGTAATTTTGTATGATAAACTAAAAAAGTGGATTTATTTACCTTCATTGGTTTACCTGTGTAATTTAAATTTTTGTGAGTAATTCTTGCCAAATGTTAGTACAAATATTAATATCCTTCTTTCCAGTATAATAAACAATGTTCTATTCTACCCTTTCATTTTACATTTTACGTTTTTTATATAGTGATTAATTTGTATCATTTTATCGAAAATTGTACTTACAAACGATTATTATTTCGTTTAATAACATAGAGTTTTCTATAATGATTTGTAAATAAAAAAATGACATGATGAAAAAAAATATCATTTGTTTCTTTTTTTCCTCGACAACCTCAACATCATTTAAAAAACAAATTTATGTATGGATGTACAAAAATTTTTTGCTAGTATACCGATAGTATTAAAATAATAAACATAAAAGTGTATTCGTTCTACTACGTTGATACCGACAGTTTCTTAGCTTATGGTAACACAATTTCTATCTTATCAATTATAATCGATATCAAAGAGCTCCAAAATTCCCATGGATTATATATGGCTTTGTCGGATTGCCTAAAATTTTTTTGGACGTAATAAAAATATAAAAGAAATTTGGTGACTGTAAATTCATTACTCAGAAAAAAAGAGTTCACGTTGATCATCCCATTTGATTATGGTAAAATGACATATGTCTGTTCATAAAACTGTGATTATTTTAATTTTAGGATTATTTAAAAGAAATATGAATAAAAATGTTTGTAAATCCAACTTTTATGAAATTCTCCAATCGCAAAAGAAGTAGCTGTACAATCGATGAATTTTCATGTCTCAAAAAATTTCACCGGTAGCTACACTTACAGCTTTCCACGTATTCATTTTGGACCCACTAAAATATCTGATAATTTTTAGATTTCAGAAAAGTATATAATGTGTATGAAATGTGCTACCAACTAAATACGTGGTTTTGATGTTCCAATAATCATTTCATGAATCGATCAATATTTTTCGGCAATATTTGCACGAATTATTCACTTAAAATCAATGGAAACATTATTATGAATTGGTGGTTGAAACGAAAAAATTTACCATCAGCAATTTCCAGAGACCCATTTGTTTCCATCACTTTTACTTACTTACACTTACTTTCTACAAAACCGTGTCGTTTGATGGCAAAAAGTTCGCGGATCATCCATTAGTTTTAATAACATACAATCAAAACTTGTGCTCGTTACCCGACTTGTCAACGAAAAGAGGACTTATCGTTTCGATTCGCGAAATCGGTAATGTCACCCAAACTTTCGAAAAAAAAAAATCATTACCATTCGCCAGAGTGGAAATAGATGTGGATGTATGTGTTTCGTAAATTGTGACTTGTTACAACCGGTCATCAAGCGACATTAAGACTTTCCATTTTTTATTCCTTCAAAATCAACCTTCGGACGTTCGGAATGACAAATAATGGGGTTCGCGAGGACGTGGGCGTAAGATACCATAGAAAATGACTCCTCAGCTATATTATAATAGACACATGTATTTGACAAGCCAAACTCCGAAACATCGCACTTTTTTTTCCAGGAACTACGTTTCGTCCATACCGATTTCTCTCGAAGGAAGCAAGTGGCGACACTTTTGACCGGCAAAAAAACTCTTTCGATAAAATTACGCACCCACCGCGATCGACGTACATATATTATAGCCATAACGTATATTTGTCGCATCAAAGAGAAATATGCTAATTCGACCGATATCCGCGAAAGTACGGCCACAAACGGGCGAAGGAGCGATGAACCGCAGTAAACACACGATTAGGTGCGCGTATCATCCGATTCTTCGCATGCTCGTATACACAAATAATTTCCCCCCATGAGAAATCAATAAACATATCTGTGCGAGTCCAGTACTATCATTCACAATCCTCTACAGGCGCAAGGACAGCTAACAAATCGTTCAAACTGGAAATTTATGTAGATTTTTCTCCTGCAAAGCCCCCCTTTTTAAAAAATTTATTTTCGTCCCGCTCCAAAAGCACCGAAGCTACAACGTATTCACGTGCTCTCTATACGTGCACACGTACCCACCCATACACACATGGGAGCGCGTAAAGATCCCGTTATCAGGTCGAAGCGCCTGAGTGGGTCAGTCGCGATTCTCCCTCTCTGCTCCCGTGGCTGCCGATCCCCACGAGGGACTCTCTTTTTCCTCGGGCCCCGACAAATTCTTTCTCTCCCGTATTTGGTATCTCCCACGAGCTTCGCAGCATATTTTCAACAATCACCTGCTTATTTTGTGCCCATCACCAAATATGCCCAATTGGATTTCAGATGGGGATCATTATATATTTATTGCACAATCATGTATATAAATGTATACAGGAAGCAGGAAGTCTGTGAGGCACGTAACACGCGTCAGTGGGTTCTCGAGTTGCGCGAATCACGCGCTACCCCCCCCCCCCCCCCGTAAGTATACGAGTAAACTCGTGCAAATCAGCCTATCTACGCTTGCAACAAACAAGTCCATCTCGCGCGTCGGTCAGTCGTCCCGTTTGTATAACAGCAAATAATCAGCCGTCGGCGCGCGAGGGGCCTTTGGGCCTCCCGCGGCTAGGATACACATGTTCTGGTGGAAGGGATCGGGGGGGGGGAGTAGTGGCTCGCGCGTTTCTTTCTCGAAAGCGCAGGTAACGCGACGGCGATGGGCATCATACGGTATCAGTGGCCGTCCAGCTAGTCGTCCCTCGCGCACCTGCTCGACTCCTTGGGCAAATCGCGGCTTTGGACATTTTTCCTCTCGGGGACTCTGTTCGCGTTTGGTTGCTCCGTAGCTTTTCTTCCTTTTTTTTTCCCCCACGTGCGAACTTCAAGATTTCACTCGTCGTGTCGGAGCTTGGAGAAGCGGAGAGGCGAACATGAAGATCGCCACGACGCTTTTTTTCTTCGTGGTCGTGGGTACGTATATGTGCGTTACGGGCCCGAAAATTACTCGGGTTTTCGTTGCATTTTTAACAAGAGTGTATACGCAAGTGTAGGTGAGCTCGAGCGAGCCGGACTCTCGCGCGTGACTGGACTCAACCTACTTACAACGATTACGACCGATGGGCTGGATTTTTAGTAAAAAAACCAGTTGTTGGGAAAATTTGACACTCGTCCACTACCGTGGGCGAGGCGCCGAGTTCTGAAAAAGAGAACCGGCGTATATACCGATTGGAGGTTTTCTTTCACATCTGGTTCGACTCTCGATTGGAAAATAAACCAACTCGCGTAGGAATATGGTATCATGGATGGCGGACGTTGACCATTTTTTTTTTTTTTTTTTTTGCTTCGGTATATAATCGAGCTTTCAAAATTGAACTTCCAAGTCACGCGTGCGAGTCTGTTTGCCGTACGAGTTTTACGGTGTGAGCAGTTTCAGTTTTTGGAAAATTTTTATCATTTTTATCCAGAGTAGCGAGTGAAAGTTTCAATGTAACAGGTCGTGATGCCTGTAACCTTTAGGAGTTGATCCAAGGATCCGGGCGTTATTTTTCGACTCGCTTTGTAGGTCGAACGCACCCGTTGCGACAACTTTCAATTTTCTCTCGTCACAAAGAGACGACTTGTTCGAAATTATTTAAATTACATTATAAAAAGTTGAATTTCAAAACTACGGTGATTTTCCATTCGTACTTAGTCAATGACTCGACTGAATAACTGCTTACACCGTCAAAAATTCAATCAAACGCTCCCCCGTAATTACAAGCGGCGTGGAAAGGATCTTTTCGTCTCCCACGCCGAGGAAGATTGCACGCCCGTCAAGTGAAAAGTGGCGACAAATGACTGATCTTCGAGCTTATTAGAGGATCCTTACAACGTAGTTTCGGATTCGTCGTTTATCTTCAAAGTCACTTTGTTCGTGTTTCGAGCGATAATTCGTGCTTTTATGGAGTCACGGCACTCTGTTGTTCCTTCGTGCAATCTTCTTCCACAGACGTTTAGACAAAGTTCCTTTCTACAAAAATCAATCTGTCGTTGTATCATTAGTGTATAAATCATTGGATGCTCATGTACTATAATTTTAAATATATTTATGCGGAAACTGATTTTATGCCAAAGTTACATTAACGATACAAAGGACATGCATACAATAAATATTATACCTTAAAGTTTTTTATACCAAATTTATGTTGTCTATACTTATACGATTTGCGTAAAGTGATAAAATGTATGTATATATGTACCTCTTTGTACCATTGTCACAAACTTTGGGAATAATATTCTTGTAGGCTTTTGGGTATCTGTTTATTTATGTAACATAAAAAAATACACACATGTTATTCTGTGCTATTAATATCTGACTATATGACTATCCTACGGTCTTTTTTACATTAATACTCGACTTTTCCTCTCACAGCTAGACTAACGAATTTCTACAGTAGTTACAAACCTTTTTTTCAACCTATTGTACATAATTATTGTAATTGCATTTTCTGGTAGTTGTATTATGATGAACTGCAATGTCAAAATCCAGTGTAAATATTACGCGTAAAATGTGCTTGTATGATTTCTTGTAGCATAATCATGGCTTGAGGGTAAAATTACGAGGTTAGCCTGTATATTTACGAGAGCATTATTCGAAACCTACGAATCCAAAGCTGAAAAATAAAAAATGTGATGGCTTAAAACGAGTCATCGTTTTGGTACTATTGAAAAATTGACGAGCAATTTATACACCGTTAAAATTACGCTATCGGCTCCACTTACCCCGTAAATGATTGTTAGCTCTATGATTCTTAGTTTTTCCTAAGCATCGTGCCATTTCCAGATCTTTTTTTCCCTTGCGTATTCTTTTTTTTATTTTATTTTACTTACCGACCCTCCGAACTTTTTATACGTAGGTATATTAAGCACACATAACTTGAAAAGAAAAAAAAAATGAAAGAGCAATCGCCTCACGAGTTGGGTAATTTTACGAGCTCCTATAAAGCAATGAGTGCATGAAATCGACTGCGCAAACGTCGGGCTTATAATTGATATCAAGAGAGCAGCACCCATTTTTTTGTTCAAGACATAAGCAAAGATCGAGAGGATGAGTGAAGTCTAAAAAAAAAAAAAATGAAACATCAAGCGGGCTCGTATCACTTTTGCAATCATTCACCGGGGACACATCGATTAATAACAAGTGCGTATCGAAATCATAATTAATGAGCGAAGATTACAGTAGCGAGAAAAATCTCTTTCTCAATCGACAACTGATAATTTGATTCCTCGTAGCGCATCGTTGTGATTGAAAGTAGCACCAGAATAAATGAAAATTTTTTGACTCTTTAGAAAATGCTCGCTCGTAGACACAATTGGTTTATGTGCCCATTTCAATCTAATATAGAAATCGAAAGCTGGCCAAAGTATGTTGATTTCAAGAGTACACAATAGAAAGACCATCATTACGATTTTTCCGAGGAAAGTGGTTGTCACAAATAGACCATACAAATGTGCACTCCCGAAGGCCCGTTTCGCGGTAAACGAGTGGTTTTAGCTAAAAAGTGCGAAAGTATCGGGACAACCATCAGGGGATCTATGGAGGTGAAAGAGAAAAGTCAATAACTGCGGTGATCGTCCCATGCACGTGCAATCAAGTGCTTTACATTACGGGTGAATGTCGTCTCGTAAAGAAAAGTAGAGTAACCACACGTTCTCGCGAAGAATAGAGAAGAAACCAGTCTCCTTTCCTCTTTTGAATTTCGAAATTGCACGACTCCATCACCCGTCCGACTCGCGATCGGTGCATTTGTGACATAAAATAATATACGTACATTTATGAAATGGAAAAGCTCGTGACGTGAATATAAATGTTATATGTACCAATGCTGGGGTAAGGAGCAGTGGACACGCGATGTTGCGGGCTTCCCTCGAGAGAGAAAAGTGAAGACAAGCGCCCTGTTTGCGTATCTTGTTTTATTCGTTGTGTAAAAAGAATGGCTCGTGTCGTCAGTGCCATTTGAACATATGCGACGGCTCAGCATGCCAATATAAATACTGTTTGGGGAATATTTTACAAGAAGAGACGTTTGAGTACGGAAAGGAAAATTATAGATCTTGTCGTGAATTGAATTATTTTTTCCACAAATTTATCAGTAGCTCCGTTTTTTGAAACAAAGGTCCTCACATCTCCTTTTTATCAACAGTCTATGAGGTAAAGTCGTAGACTCTAGCAGTATAGGTCATTCGATATTTATATACCATCGTGGTAACTTCCCGTCCGAATGGCGGTCTTTCTGATTCACAGATTATCTATTATCAACAAGGATAACGTTAAGCATGTTTGGGCTTATGCTTACCTGTGTTGTAAAATACTACAAAGTGATATTTGCGTAGACTTACCCTTGAAAACATTGAAAAGTCCAGAATCGAAATGTAGACTTATTATGTCAACGACTTGTGCTTTATTAAGTAGCTCGGATGGTTTTATTCATACGTGAAAACTTTTCATGCTGAGATAATGATACTTTAATTTTTGAAATTTTCAAATTTCTTTCTCTTAATAATACTAAAACTGTTTGATTTGTGTAGAAAAAATAACAATGAAAACCAACCATTGTAACACTTTATACGATAAACATATAAAGAATTATTTTAAAAAAAACTAAGTAGGAATAATTACAAGAAAAAGCTTGTAGTTTAATTCGACCTATCAGATCTACGTTGGTAATTTAAAAGATTTAACATAGGTCAAAGCCATTAAAAAAATCGCTTAGTCCATTAGCCCAGAACCGTATGTGAACTTATTATACTACCTAGATACTCTTGTAATATTTGGTCAAAAAATAAATGCACAAAAGCGTATCGAAAATTGGACTCTACTATAAATTACACCCATCAATGAGTTAATGGCTACAAAATTAGCATTCTTTTCCCACTCTCCAATACCGATTTTTTCTGAGAGTTGATTAACTGCGTTACGAAAACATCGCAAAAACGATGAAATCAAAACCTATATCGTAATATCATTTTTTTTTTCTTCAAAAATCAACCACAAGCACACACATGATAATGTCTATATGGATACAAGCACTCGTTTAGAGAGCCAATATATGCGCGCGCCCTCCATGTGGGTCACTGGGCCAGTGTCGCCGCCTCCGTTTAACGCCAATAATCCGACCGGCTGACTGACTCTCTCGCACATTATTCACCATCCGTGCCTCTTTCTTCTCCGATATCTGGCGTCATGGAGGAATTTCCGGAAGCTTGGGATCCACATCCACGGGTGTGCGTTTTTTTTTTTTTTTTTTTTTTTAGCTCCGCGCGAATTGTAGCTACTTTTTTGGTACGCATAATTACATTCGGAGCGATACTATTTTAGGTGTGTAGGAAATGCTATGGAGTTGTAAAACACATTTTATTTTCAAGTGATGAATATTTATATCCATTTGGTCGCTCTTTGTGTTTTCAAGGACAAGTACGCGAGTGTCCATAGTTTGATCTTTAAACATCACTCGAATGATTGACTATTGATTTGATGAATTTACAATGTTTGGTTCATTCCTTTACATGTGAAATCACGAGTGTTTTTTCTCAGATAATAAGAAAGATTTGGAAAATTCCAACGAAATCATCAATTAATACCTACAAGCATTAATATGTTACCTAAACAGTCAGTCGTAAATGCAAGTAGTTACATTTATTTCCTTGAATACATAATTTGATGGATTTTATCAAAACTGTTGAAAAATACAGAATTCTTTGTTCATAGTCCCACAAAAAAAAATTATACTGGAATATTTTGATAAAAAATGAACAAAATGAGGCGCAGATAAAAAAAAAAATCCATACGCGCATTGAAAAAAAAAAAAAAAAAAAAAAATTTAAAAGCCCGAGCACCGCTAGCCTTTAAGAAGATGCGTCTTTTGACCGCAAAATGCGTATTGTACGCGTACAGGCACAGCAACATAGCGCGCAGTGAAACAAATTTAAGTGGCCAGTTCGTTTGCAGCTGCGTTGCACGTATACACCATAACCGAGGCGATTCATACACCAACGACGACGAGTCGAGGGGAATATAGAAAATCAGAGCATCGCATTATAAACGCGTCCGGCGACTTTTACCTTCGTTCGATGGCTACTGGCGACGACGCTCGTCCCGCGTGCATATATGTTTCGTCCACTCACGGATCAATTAAACGAGGCACTGAGCAAAAAAAATTTATCTCCCACCTGTGATCTTTATAGACTGAAAAAAGGGAGCTGTGTGATGAAACAAATTCTAGGTTACAGAAAAAGAAGCATACCGATCTCGATTCAGAGAATTTATTTTCTCGATTCGTTGAAAGGACAATGTGATGCATTTATCCACGAATAAATTCTTTCGTTTTATAGAATGAAAAAAAAAAAAACACATGCCATTTTATTCAAAAAACAATTTCATGAATTATTGTCGTCGCAAAATTTTAATAAATATTAAGTCTGTACTTTTGTGAGATGCTCGTTTCAATAGGGGAAAAACGTCGAAATAATAGGATGGAAATATAGTCGAGGTCAGTCGTGGCACCGGATGATTTCTCCTTCTTTATTTTCTCTTTCACTTTGTAAAATTAGAAGAAAAAAATCGCGAATTGCAAGGTACGTCACCGAGGCTCCATTGAAAGTTGACGTGTGAACGCGCTCAATGTCTCACTCTGCGTTCATTCATCGTTTGAATTTAATCAGTTTCAACAATAGCCACTAGACTGGATTTTGAAATACTTATCGCAGGATTGATTTTTCTCGCTATAATTTGTTAACATTACAAAATAATATCACGATGGGTAATTTTTTTTCTATTTAAGCAAGTTAGTTGTGGATAAAAATTCATTCCTTTCCTCAAATGAAATCGACGGAAAAAGAACGTTACACATTTTTATGGACGAGACATTGATTTTAGTAGCACAGAATATACAAATGAGAGTCAAAACAAGCCGAGGCCGATCACAATAGATATATTTTCGCTGAAAAGCTGATGTGTCACATTTGTTTTTTACGTTATTTTTTATTTATTTATTTATTTATTTTTTTTTTTTCTAAAATTTTCCATTCAAAAAAATCATCAATTTGATGAATAATTCTAGATGCAGAAAGCTCGAAAAAAAGCTTTGAATTTATAAAATATTGTACATATGTAAATGTCCCACAGTATTAGTTGCAGTAGCGATCCGGGCGTCCTTTACTGACCCTTTCTTTGTCTATATCCATCTCTCCGCATCCTTTTTGTTTGTTTGCAATTTGGTTTTAGGGTGCACGTGGCGAGAGTCAACGAGTACGCTACCGTGCGTTGTTGAATCGGATTTTGGTTTCACGTTAGTCTGCTCCTTCAAAAAATCGGGCATCTTTCGGATCCGTAATCTCGGAGGCTTCAAGGGCTACTTTGGTCTTGGTGAGTTGTTCTGTTGCTCTCTCTTTCTCTATCTCTTTTTTCCTTCCTCCACGCTGTCTTCCCACTATGGTTTTTTTTTTTTTTTTTTTTTCATTACCCTTATGTCTCCTTGTATTATAAGTACACTTGTGACCCCTAAAAGCCGAGATTGCATGTTCGGTAACTGTATAAAGATATGCTATCCACGTGAAGGGAACGACCTTACGTCCACGAAAAACTGCAAAGTATTTACCACCTGTTTTTCGTATATCAGAGATCAGTTGAATCTTTTTAGCTTTACATTAGCTTTAATTCGACCAGTTGTAATTGTCGATCTTGTAAATTGTTATTACTTAACACTTATGTAAAAAGTTTTCACGGTGATGGATAGTTGTAATTAATCATCTTAAAATTATCAGCATTTCATTTAATAGAACAATAAAATTTCAAGCCGTGAAATCGAGATAATAGGCGCTTGAAATGTAATAATAAGTTTTAAAGAGGATTTAATCTTCGTACAACGACTGTGACGTCAAACACGAAATGCATAATGAAAATACAAATGCCCAGAAAGCATGCAATTTTTTTTTTCCAACAGTCATGCGTGTAATTATTCAGTACTTTGTAACAATACTGCACTCGAAAACCGACACGACCGTGACAATTTAAAAAATAATAACATCATGTTTTGATTCGATAAATTATATGGAAAGAGACATTTTTTTCTTTAAAATAGGAAAGTGTGTAAAAAACAATACAACAGTACACGATCCTCAAACAGAGAATAAAAATATTTTAATGTGTACTTTTGACAAAAACCAAGAGCAGCTCCATAAATAGGCAATCTGTAAGTATCTCAAAGACCCAGTAAACTTGAGCCAAGTAAAAAATTTGGGTACAGAAATATCTCTCTATCTGCCCATCTATCTCTTTTTCTTTGCTCACTCGAGCGTATTGCTCGAAAAGTTGTCCAGTTCTCCACACACATACGACGTATAATGTGCACTGTACAGGTGGACTTGTCAGAAACGCACGTTTATATACACATGCATGGAGGCAATGTGAAAGTACAAGGAGCGCGCACGACCAGTTCGGTCCAGAAGCGCGAGCCTTGAGATTTTGTAGGGTTTCTAGTATACGCCTTCATCTCACGCTTTTTTTTCAACGGACGCGCGTGCGTTTATTTTTATTTATTATTATTTTTTTTTTTCTGTAAAGGCAAAATATCCTCTTCTTGGGTGGATGAGGTACCTTGAATTTTTCGCGTCTTGATGGTAATGCAATGAGAGGCAATTTATGCGAAGGACAAGGTTTATTGGTTATTCGGTGGACTTGACGAAACGTGCTAATTTACTGAAATTATTGATCAAGATGAATCCCGGAGTGATGAAATCCGATAAATAAATTTTCATCGAACGAAAACTTTATGATACGTGATTAAAAGTTACCAAGACGTTATGTTGGATTCGTAAAATATAGAAGTCTATATGTTATCTCTATTACTTTTATATCAAAAAAAGAATATTTGGTTTAAGGACATGATCCACTTATTGACAAAATATTAATCTAATGTTTTCGTATTTGCATTTTATAAAATCATAAACTATCTGATGAGTATATCCTGTTACATATTTCTTTAATAGTAAAAGCAGAAATTTTACATATCAATATCGTATACGTTGTTATCTTTGCTTAAATTGGAAAAAAGGCTTGCAATAAAAAAGAAAGGAACAAAACATCGATTTAACGACAGAAAGCCAAAACCAATGATGAAAATTTATAAAAACCATCCACGTTGTCGTTATCTCGAACAACACAGGGACCGCAAGCCTAGTTATGTGTCCCTCTTTCCCGCTGTCCTTCTCGACTCGTCTGCCAATAAATTAGCATGCAGACTAACTCTCGTCCGACAGCGGTGATTTTCTTTTTTTTTTCATTCTTCAATGCAGGTATATAGAGGCACTGTACCGCAGCAAGTCTTCGAACATTATTTGCACTCAGTGAAACGAACCAAAAAAAAAAAGGCCAGTTCACTAGAAAACACGCCTTTGGCGCTTATTCGTCTACAACTTATGGGCTATGCTATTTGCTTCGATCCATTCAAAGATGTGAAGCATACTTGTCGTGAATATAAAAACCACTATTTGTCGAAAGTCTTCAACATTGCACTATCGTCTTACGAGATTTCAAAAATTGCGTGTTTGCTCTGCCCCACAGGCTTGCATGACTGCGACCTCAAACTATTCCATGCACTACTCAACCATAAACTTGTTCCTACACGTTTGCAGTTCAGCTGAAATTTGTCGTGCTAATAAAAGTGGCAGTTTATTATTTGCTAAAACAAATGGTTAATAAATCGTTATACATCAAATAATCCTGCAATCTATTGTTAGTACTTTTTTAAAGAGAACAATAGATTGCATGGATTCATCGGAGTTAACGAGAGTGCAAAGCTTAGTTTGAGACAAAAGCCAAATAGATAGGATGTGATTGTTTTTTTTTTTTTTTTTTTTTGGATAAACAAAAAAGTAAATTTATAAGCCTTAATCCATGTTTTATTTTTTACAAAATCATTGAAAAAGACAAATTTGGATGATTCAAACAACACTTGATGCTACCCATAAAGAGCTGCTTGCCAATAACCGGCTGACAATAAGCGTACCCGCAACAATATCTACTATCGACCAAATTACAGTTCTTCATCCATAGCATCTCATACTTCGTCCGTTCATCCTTCAATTTCCTCGCCTTTGTGGACACTATATACACCACTCGTTACAAACCTAATCGTTTTCGGCCACCGCAATCCAAACGAGAACAGCAATTCTCTTTCTTCCTTCTCATTCTTTCTTGTCTATATATTGCATGCGAACATGTACACAAACTTTATCGGAAATCAGATAGCGTGACATCCAGATTGTGTCCAAAGACATACTACAACTGTTTGACTCTAGGGAATTGGGAAGTAAATTAATATATTCAGCATACAAAATACTATTGTGAGTGTAAGGTAGTTGCAGTCGTGAGTTTTAGTTTGACGATTGACTTTCTTTATAAATAATGGCACTTGGTTGTGTAGAGTTGAAACTTGTACTTGAATATAAGAATCATCGTGACTCTCACTTACCTAAAACGTGTGACGTATTTCATTGTCCAATTAGCATCTGATGGATTTAGATTTTATTAGAGATAAAAAAAAATGTCATCGATGTGTTGAAGATTTCATTTGCTGAAGACCGGTTGGAACTCTCGTAGTTGACGATACTACAAAAAAAAAAAGGTTATTACATAAAGGACTTGAATAAAAATTTATCGTTCTACTACAGAGGCCACTTATCTTCAGTGCTTCTGAATGAACTCAGGAAAAAAGATTAAAAATTTTTCACATTACAACGTTGACGATATTACAAAATTTTTTTTGTGCAGTTTTTTCAGCATAGATACGATAATTACATACTTACCATCCACTATTAATTGCGCAATACTATTACACGCGTCACACATTATATGGCGTCGTTCATAGACATTGACACTGACGTATGAGATGAAGTATGCAGATACATGTAGACACACATAATAAGATACACATGATTACTTTAGCACATATGTCTAACGAACACGCAAAAAATGTCATACATATGTTGTCGCAACACTGGATGGTTTATGCAAAGCTGGCCGCCTTGGCCTGAACTTTTTTTACATCCGTCAGGCGCAAAAAAAAATCGAAGTAAAGAATGATTTGATGAGAAGCTATACAATCACTTTGTATCTCAAAATTTCATTTAGTTGTGACTTTTTTTTCTACCGAAAGTGACATTTACGTAAGATTTGATAATCAATGAACTACAAAATTACTTCAACTAAAAAAATATTTAGACATGCTACGTTTTCCTGTGGGTGTAGAAAATTTCGAAGGATAATTATAATCGTTACGTCATGTATACTCATAAAAAATATTAAGGTTTGAATGATGACATTCAAGAGATGATTAATCGTGATAAAAATCATATGATGATACTTATTATGATACTTACAATGTTTTTTTATGACCATTTATTTGAGATCGATGTACCGACGAATATCACCGTGAAATTTTGAAATTTAACGTACCTGCGTATCATCGATAAGCAATTAACAGTCGATAAAACGATGTCAACGTGTAGTTAATGGTCTTTTGAAATTTTTAAATCATAACGACCATAATGAAAGTCACCAGATCTCATCATTTTTTACATCCACGTATGTTGAAATTTATATGACTCAAGTTGTGCACTTTTATGACAAGTTAGCCTTCAACCATGGGTTGGTTAGTAATATTTTAATGTACGTTGGATGTAATTTTTTATTTCGCTTCATAATCAATATTTTATCTCAAAAGACACCATCTCATTTAATGCCTTAAAATGGAAGATACTGCATTAAGATGTAAACGAATTGGATGATCATTTTTCTCCAAGTAACAGGCACTAAAAATGCATAATTCTTGCACTTGTAGGTAAGTGTTGTAATAACTCGCTATTTCGTATTGATGGTGTATAATAGCAGTAATTGTACAGGATCCACGGATTTGTGTTAAGTTTACAGCCACTAGAGAAAAATTTACTAAATCCATTAACATCACTAATCACGCAATTGCATCAATGATATTTGGTATTAAATATATAAAGCTTGCCATTAATACATAGTTCACATTCAAACATGTTTGATGCATCTTTTGTTGCTGTGCATGTCAATACATCATCTTCTAACTTTTCCTTGAGAAAAAACTAATATTTACCACCGTAGTTTCTCGCTACCACATAGAGATACTGCGAAACGCAAAAAAAGCTCATCATTCTAAAAATAAGCAGGAGCAATTTCACGCGCAACATTTACCACATGAGACGTGATCCCATTCAGTTCCAACACAATAATCGTTTTTTTTCAAAAAGTATGCCAAGTGCTTTGGCACGTATAGGTGCACACACAAAGATCTGAACTGTTTGTCGTCCATAGGTTTTACAGTTGGTGACGAGCTTGGGTTCCAGGACTCTTTGACGAATTTGGAGGTCAGTCGAAGACGCAGCGTACAAACCAGCCGGAGTGGCATTCCCGGCCTGCATCCCAATGTGGTAAGAGAGCCCAACAGCTCATATATACATATACACCAAACCTCACGTTACAGCTTCGCGCGTGCTCTTGCACAAACGTTTATCTCGGACTCGGTTTCGTTTTCTTCGAGTTAGAAAATCTTTGCAAGCTCGCCGAGTTGTTGTGTTCTGCTCCCGAAGTCATTAAGCTGCAGGTGCAATCACCGAAGTTTGCGTTTTTCTTCGTGCCAAAAGTTCATTTTTCCATTCGATGGAGCAACCTTCCAGATCGCAATCCAGATATGAACGTGGACTCGACGAGTCTTTGTTAATTTAGACTCCGTAGCCTTGTTTGGAGCAATGAATACACCAACTCGACTCGAACCACATAATGAGAACATTCGGGTTGGAAAACAATGCCCCACCATATCCAAACAACGAATCGAAGACTCGTACGCAACTTTAATAATTTCTATATAACAAAGAATCATCCCGAAAGTACACGACTCCATGTAAAACCCAACCGTATTACTTGCTCCATCCCAAATCTTCCATAAGAACCCAAGGAAACCAATAACACTCACACGTACACGCAATACTCGCAAGACGACCAAATGTACTTTCGATGTAGATATACGAGAGCGGGGTACATTTGGCTCTCCCGCCTCTCCAACTACGACTTTCGCTGAAATCCAAGTTCCCAGCGCGAGCTAATATCGTTTCATAAACGTGGCTGCACGCGAATGCTTACGTGGATGCATTGTGTAGTGCACATGGCTAGACATTAACGGCCTTGAGGCAACTGGCGCGTGAATGTTGGGTCTCCGGTGCAAGTGCTAGCATCCACTAATGAGATTTGCGCGCGAGCCTCTTTCACGTACGGTTTATGGCGTTTCGGTGCATCATTGACACTTTTTCATACAACGAAATTTTCGTCCTGCGTTGCTGTAAATCTTTATTTATTTTTTTTTTTTTTCAATCGACGTGCAATCACACGAAATTGTTACTTTTGGTCATACTTCGGTACGAAATAGAGGAGAAAGCAAAGATCCACGTGACCACGTGATCGTAAAGGTTCACCTCGTTCGTGACCCAAGACGAAAAAAAAAAAAAACACGTTCAGCCGGTAATTGTAACATTATGTCTCGTCACTGCGTAATCATCAAAAGTAATTGTCGCATTCATCATAACTCCCCGTTCGCGTTGCGTGACGCTTGCCACGTCGGTGATAACGAAAAACCTCAATATCTGCCGTCTCATTATTGAATACCATGTGTTTATCGTCCCGAGAGCAACAATAAATGGCCAATCTTACAAAAATCAATGTAACGAAAAATCGACCTTATGACCCTTCCACGAGAGAGTAATGACCAGTCGCAAGCAACAAAGACAACCACAATGAACACACAGAGTGCACCGTCCTTTTATCAATTTGACTGATCGCGATGACCCTCGCCAGCAGATCCGCAACCGGATGGCCGTGCCGCCCTTCAAGCCCCTGCCTCCAGGCGCCTCGCGACCCATGGCTCAGCAACCCGAACGCCAGCGGCTGGTCGTCCAGCAGAACTTCACGTCCTCGGCAACGGCCCCGAGACTACCCACTGCTTCGCAGATGATCAACAACGCTCTGCTGCAGGAGGAGGCGTTCAAGCAGCAGCAGCAGCGCGCCCAGCAGGAAGCCAAAATGAGGGAGCAGCAGCGCCTTCAGCAGGAAATGCTCGCCATGCAAGTGCTCAAGCAGCAAAGGCAACAGCAACAGGAGGCCATGAAGTTTCAGAGACAACAGCAGCAGGTGCAGTTCCCGCAACAGGCTCTACCGATGGCCATGAAGAGGACACAGGTATACAAGACATTGAAACAATTGGTTTTTTTTTTTTTTTTTTTTTTTTTGATACATCAGAAATTTTCAATTCCCTTTGTTTTGTCCTTTAGCAATCGTCAGGACCGGCCAGGATGCCAAGCATCGTCGCAGCTGTCCCGCAGTCAGGTGGCACCAGTCTCGACAAGATCCTCCAGATGCAGAACAAGCCCATGGTCGTGATGGCGATACCTCCAGCCTTCGTTAGAATGCCCGAGTCGGCAGCTCAATTGACTGACCGCATCAGCAACAGCCCGACCATCCTCGAGGAGTCGGTCAACGAGGTCGCCCCAAAGGACGATGCGAGCCAGATCAAGCTGAAGGTACTACTTTTGCTTTTACTAAGGAAGGAGGCCTTGAATCGTGTAGGGTGTCAGTAAAAATGTTGGGCTGTATGACAATAAATAACTTGAGCTTTGTGAGTAAATCCAGATATGGGGTGATGAATGACGAGCAGTGGCACAATGAGAAATTTAAGAAGACATCACAAATGCAGCCTCTAGTATAACCGTTTTTTTTTTTTTTTTTTTTTTTTTCATGCAGTTGCCATCGAGCGACGATATGGCATCATCGGTCAACCAAATGACGCTCATGTCCCTGCAACCCATCGCCTCGGTGGAAAACCCACAGGCACAAACGCAGGAAAAACGTCAGTCGATGCCGTCGTTACCGTCACTTGCGCCGATTCAAGGCATGGAAACGTCGCTCAAAGCTTTGGCTGAGGCCAGCAACATCACCCTCGAGGCTCTCGAGGCAGCCATTCTTCTGAGACAACAGCAACTACTGGAAAAACAGCAGGGACCAGCCACAACCACCACGACGACTACAAGCGCACCCGTTAAAAAGTACGATTTTCACGATGAATCCTGGAAATGAATATTGCCATCCCAATAATTGCAAAAGATATCTCATTGGCAATGCTTTTCAGGCCAAACAATGTTTCCGGAGCCACGAAAGTGATGAACGCACCACGGGAATACTATCCCGTTGGCTACGACAAGAACTTTGACGACAACTTTGCCAGTCGCGTGGATCTCCCCGATACCAGTTTCTATTGCGGAGACCAGAAGCATTTCCCAGGACTTTACGCTGACGAAGACCTCGGATGCATGGTAATAATCGTGACTCCATCAAAAATAACTGAACGAGGCTCATTTACAATTGTACAATTTGATTGTCTAGGTGTTCCACGTGTGCGCGTTGACGGACGACGGTTTGATCATGAAGAGCTTCCTGTGTCCCGAGTCGACCCTCTTCGACCAGACAATTCTCAAGTGCAACTGGTGGTTCTACATCGACTGCAAGACCTCGAAGGGCCTTTACGACAGCAACATCCCCATCAGCAAGAGCTACCAGCTCATGAAGGCGCTGGCTTTCTTCTCTGCCTACAAGAGCCACGACAATTCGACGCAAATCGCGAATAACGGGGACTCTTAAAAAACGTTATCGTTGCTCTAGTTTGTTTGTTTTGTTGTTACTAAGGAGTTGTGTAGGAATCGAAGGTCGAGATGGAAAAGAGGTTGAAGTGGTTCATCTAATATTAAAAGAGTTTGAAAAATTTTCGTAGCGTACGGGAATTGAGGGTTAAACAAGTGGCTAAATTTAGGCAAAAAACCAAACTTTTGCACGTTAGGCATGGCTGCTAAAAATTTTCTCCAGAGCATGTTACTGTAACATAGTTACATCACAATATTGCTGTTTTTTTTTTTTTTCATACATATGTGTAAATTCGATGAAACGAAGTCTCTTTTTTATTTTGCAGTTTCAGATGAAAGGATTGTAGCTTCTTTACGTTATTTATGTAAAAAGTGTAGAAAAGAAGGTTTTTTATACGAATTGCGATTGACGCACACGAGTGGCCGAAGTTGCCGGGAACGAGTACCAATTAATCGTACGAGTATGGAAATCTTCCCCTCAAGTTGCGTACAAGATTTTTTATGATATTTATGAGTGTAGGAAATTAATGTTTCCCACAATGTTCATAATGTTAAAACCCTATTTTTCAAAAGGACTCTAAAACAGTGGGAGTAATTCCAACTTTTTTTTTTATGCATATTATAAAAAAACCTTGAACGTGACTTGTGCGAGCGATTGCCACGTTACGTAAATAACCATGTTTGGCGCTAAAATTTTTGCTCTGGAGAATGTAAGGTTCTCCTGTAGAGCAGTCGTGCCTAAAAATCTTATCAGATTAATTTGTATAAAATGGAATTTTTTCAGTAGGTTAATAAACCGTTTTGAGGGTTTTTATACTTTTATAGTTAAGGAATTAATGTTGTGTTACTGTAAAGTATGTTTTTGTAAAAGTTCGAGTGGTGTTGAAGTATTATTAAGTTATTTAATTCGTTTAACTTTACTACTGTGTAAGCGATTAAAAAATGCATGGAAAAAAAAAATTTATAAGTGAACGATTTAGTTGTCAGAGATTTATGACGAAATTTGTGGTCTTATTGGAAAAACAAAAAAAAAAAAAACTCGAAACAATGACAACAAACTTAAATTAAATTTGTAACTGATACAATCAAAATTTATCCATGTATTTTTGTGTGAAATTGACATTGTTAAAAATGTTTATCACTACAAGTCACGCTTAGGCTCTTGCCTTTTACTTTAAGATCTTTGTAAATAATTTATCTACTTTTAAATACAATTTTTTTGCGAACTATTCAGAGTTTTTCTTTGTGCACCTTAAATTATTTCAGGCAAAATTAATGCTCTTTTCAATCAAACCCTGGTAGAATTATGGTAATAAGTGAGCTTTTACACGCTCTTCGATTCCCGAAGAAAATCATATTTAATACCTTATCGCAACGAATATTAACTGCGTTGTAACTGTACTTTACAATCTACTGAAACCCAAGATAGTGTGTTCCAAAACAAATACTACAATACTATTAATGCAGTCAAGTCGACTCATCTTTCAACTTTAGTCGTCTGTAGACCAACAACGTCAACGTTCGCGTAAAATGTTGCTCGAAGTTTTAAATTTTACGTACACAAAATTATTTTTAATAACAATCTTAATTGTTTGTTTTTATCTTTATTTAAAACTCATCGTATTCAATTATTGGAGTATATTAAAAATACCCCATGTGACTGCAAATATTGGACTTGGAAATATAAATTTGGATTTCTTATTGGATAGAATAACCATAGGTATGTATTACTACAACGTAACTCTAGCAAGCACATTTAAATACATACTTAAATTAGTAAACTTTTTACACGTAACATAATTTTTTAGAAAGTTAAAAAAAAAGTTAATACAAATTGCAGGTGATTTAGTAAAACAACATTATGATAGATTTAAAGATTTAAAATTTTTCGGAATGTACATATTTCATAATCCAATATTGGTAATCAACGATCCGGACCTCATTAAATCAATTTTAGTCAAAGATTTTCAATACTTTGCCGATCGAGGAATACATTCGAATTTAAAAGTTGATCCGATGTCATTTAACTTATTTAGACTACCTGGTGAGAGATGGAAACATTTAAGAACGAAATTGACGCCCATTTTTACATCTGGAAAGTTAAAAAAATTGTATCCACTATTGATAGAAGTATCAGACGAACTTATTAAAATTTGCGATGAATCTTTAAAACGCGATAATGTCATGGATGTTAAAGATCTCATCGAAAGGTATGAACACAAATTTAGATAATACAAATATTTTTATGTGGAGTTCAATATGTGGTCCCAAATGATAAAATTTAATCGAATTTAATAGATTCATAACTGATTCTATATCTACCGTTGCATTCGGATTCAACTGTAACAGTTTAAAAAATCCCAAGAATGAATTCCGTAATTACGGTCAATTAGGAACAGACATGGGAAAGTATACCGCCGTACTGAGCATATTTGGATCGAATATTTTGGATTTTTTTCACGTACCGGTATTCAAAAAGAGTGTGAATAAATTCTTTATCAAAACGTTCGAAGACGTCGTGAATCACCGCCTGGAAGAAAAAGTTGACAGAAACGATTTTATCAATCTATTGATGGATCTCACAGATTATTCAAAATTAAATAACAAACTAAACATCGATGAAACTCATGGTAAAATAAATTGAATCTCGATAAAACATTATTTTGGGCTTAAACATTAAATCCATACTTGTTAATTAGATATAAGCAGAAGCAAACTGAACATGTTAGAAGCAGCAGCACAAGTTTTTGTTTTTTTCATCGCTGGATTTGAAACTACGTCAACTTCATTGATATTTTGTCTGCATGAATTAGCTAAGCATCCGGAAATCCAAGAGAAATTACAAGAGGAGATAGATCTGATTGCTGTGACCCCGGGAGGCTTCAATTATGATAACGTAATGAGCATGAAGTACCTCGACATGGTGTTTTCTGGTATTTTCATTCAAAATCTCATAATATCAGCTAAAAAAATTGTATACTGTTTTAAGTATGTAAAAAATTAAAATTTCGTTTGATTATTTTATGTTATTTGCGTGTTAAACTACATATTAATATGAATAAAACAAATCAGTGATTGTAATATTGCAGAGGTTTTGCGGAAACATCCAGCAGTGCCTTTTATAAACCGTCTTTGCACTAAAGATTACATTATTCCTGAAACAAATATTTGCATACCCAAAGGAATGAGACTAGCGATTTCAGTGTCTGGAATTCAAAACGATCCAAAAATTTATCCAGACCCAAAGAATTTTGACCCACAACGTTTCACAAAAGAGAATTGTGCTAAGCGAAACTCGTACTTTTTTTTACCATTTGGTGAAGGACCAAGAATTTGTATAGGTAATTTTGAAAGTTCTTCATCACACTCAAATCATCCTGTATGCACTTGTTATTTTGTTTCTAATTATTATAAACTTTTCCAACAAAATTCCATAGGTAAACGTGTCGCTTTGATGCAAGGAAAAGTAGCTCTTGTCACTCTTCTGTCCAAGTACACATTTAGACTCTGCGACAAGACACTGATACCTTTACCTTACAGTAATCGTACATTTCTACAAGTTACTGATGAATTCTTGTACTTGGATGTCAGTCGACGGTAAAGTTCAACCAATAAAACCTGATAATGAAAATTAAGTACAAGTATTCGTTTTAATACAATTAATTATTAAATTATTTTTGGATTAACGTAAAACATTGCACAGTTGTAAAACAATTGGTCATTATTTAACAATCATTTTTATAATTAAAAAAAATGCAGTGTAAAAAGAAAAACTCGTTATATTTAATATTGACATTTTTATAAAGTAAGTGTGCAATTTAAAAAAAGTAAGTATTCAATAGTTAATCATTTCTTGTCCATAAAAACCAAAGCTCCCCACGTTTTCTTTTTTTGCAACGTTTGTGCAAATCACGTCACTTAATGTCGTACTCGGTGATATCATTAGCAGGCTAGAGACTCTGAGTGGGATAAGCCGATTCAAAGTCAAGGCTTTTCCGATTCCTCATTCTATAAAAGTCTCGCTCAGTTGAACGTTCTCGTCAAAGTTCAGTGTCTCAAATTTTCATTAACAGCAAGAGCACCAATATGCTGCAAGCAATGGAGCAAATGTTTCATACGAAGCTATTTTGGATTACCGTGATTATTCTAGGATTTTACACATACTTAAAGTTCGTAGTTTATAATTATTGGAACAAAAAAGGAATACCTCACGATGCGCCATCAATACCCTTCGGTAATACTGTACCGGTGGTCACTGGGAAATTGTCTGTAGGTAAATAACCAATCGCTTCGTTTCTTCAATTTAATTAATTTTTTCCATAATTTTATTACAATACGATTAATATCATTCATAAATTCAACCAATATCTCCATTAATACAGTATGTAATATTTGTAGGTAATTTGTTAAAAGAAAGTTACGAAAAATTCAAAAAGCTTCCCTTTCACGGTGTATACATTTTTTACAAACCCATGCTGGTGATTAATGATCCTGAGTTGATTCGACAGATATTAATAAAGGACTTCAACAAATTTCGCGATCGCGGTTTATACTTTAATGAAAAAATCGATCCACTATCGGGTCACTTGTTTTTTTTGCCCGGCGAAAAATGGAGAAGACTGCGAGCCAAGTTATCGCCAATATTCACGTCAGGGAAATTGAAGCAAATGTTTCCATTGCTCAAAGAAATCGGCGACGATTTGGTAAAAGTCTGCGACAAAACGATTGATAAAGATGATGTGATTGAATTGAAAAGTATGATTGGAAGGTAAATGGGTAAAGTCTTAGACTTTGAATTATTTTGTATAGGTACCAGTTATTCAATAAAATAATTTTTATTGCAGGTATACAGCCGATACCATTTCGTCCACTGCTTTTGGATTCAACTGCAAGAGCCTTGATAATCCAGAAAACGAGTTCAAACGTCATTTGCTCATGGTATTTGATCAATCGCCGTTGAAAAATGCCCTTGCTTTCGTTCCGATAGTATTAGATGTATTGCGAATACCGTTTACCCCGTACGAGGTCATAAGATTTTTTTCAAAATTATTTGAGGATATGGTTAATCAAAGACAACAAAGTAATGTCGTTAGAAAAGATTTTGTTAACTTATTGATGCAATTAATGGACAAGGGCATATTAGAGGAAGATGACAAATCAACACAAAATGGTTCCAGCAAAGGTAATATGTTTGTTTAAACAGATTTAATTGAAATCTAGTTAATTTGATTGAACATGACATTTTAGCAATAATCGTAAATTTTATGAACCAATCATGTCTTGACAAAAAAAGGAATCATGAAATATATATAATAACAATAATATAATTTATATATCGTATACGTATATATTTATTGTTCTTTTGAATTTCAAAAAAATTTTTTCGACAATACTGCAAAGAATGGCATGGTTAAAAATTAAATTAAAAAATTTTTTTTTATTAAAATACCATTATTAATATTATACACAAGTGAAGAAATGTATGGATAACGGTAAATATTTATAGATTCCAATAATGAAAAGTTAAGTTTGGTGCAAGCTCAAGCTCAGGCGTTTGTATTTTTCGTCGCCGGATACGAAACAACCTCAAGCACAATTACCTATTGCCTATACGAATTAGCCATGAATCCAGACATTCAAGAGAAGGTTCACGAGGAAATCGATGAAGTGTGCAGTAAACCAGGTGGCATAACGTATGAACGCGTGATGAACGAATTCGAGTACCTACACATGGTGTTTTGCGGTAATTAAAAAATTCCGTAACAATAAACAATATCTAAATAAAATTGATCAAAAATTTTCCACTTTTAATACTTACATTATATTGTAAAATACAGAAACTTTGAGGAAACATCCATCACTTGCATTCTTAAATAGAGTGTGCATTGAAGATTACAATATTCCAAACAGTAACGTCACCTTGGAAAAAGGAACTGGAGTCATCGTTCCCGTGTCAGGACTCCAAAGAGATCCTAATTTTTTTCCAGATCCAGACAAATTCGATCCAATGCGTTTTTCGAAAGATAATATTGCAGCGAGGAATCCCTACGTATATTTACCCTTTGGGGATGGTCCACGGGTTTGCATTGGTAAATTTTCTACATGGATTCACTTGACGAAAAAATAAAACTTTTCGAAAATTTATTATTAATTACTCGAATTTCAGGTACTCGTTTCGGCCACTTGCAATCTAAAATAGCTCTGATATCCGTGTTACATAATTTCAAATTTTCAGCATGTCCTAAAACATCTGAAATTGTTTATTCGAAAAGAGCTCTTGTTCAAGCGCCAGAAGGTGGTGTATACGTAAGAATGGAAAGAAGAAAAAAATAATGTTGTAACAGAACTATGCGAATTTTATTTTATTTTTAAAGTGGAAGCACAAATTTCACTCGGTAAATCCAAATATCTTAAAATAATGTGTTAATTATGTGTTAAAATTTTTATTTTTGGAAAATTATATATTACGTAACAACAGTTATATATTCATACAACAAAAGTATTGATAAGCGTTTTCCATAAAAATCAAACAGTATTTTATCAATTAGTTGTGTACATACATTAAACTGTACTATTTTTTGTACGACAATTAATACAAGAAGGCTGTAGAATGCAAAATATATCTTTCAAACTTATCTTCAAATATCTAAATATTTTAACTGTTTCAAATTATACCATTTGATAGAACTGGTATGATAGTCAACAATAAATTAATTTAATTATTTATGTAATAATTATTAAAATAATTTAGATGAAAAATGTACAGATATAATAAAATATTAAAAACAAAGGTTTTATACTTTTAATTTACTTGTAAAACTTGTAAAATTCAACTAATTTGAGTTTATGTAATACGTAAAATGCATGGAAGATTTGAATGTTTGTATGATTTATGTTTTTTAAGGATTTTCAATAGTTTTTTCAAGCAGTGGTGTAGAGTAGTGCGGCTCTGTGTCGAAGCAAGTTGTACTAACTACACCTAATAACATCTACCAGCTCTATCCTTAAAAATTTCATTGTGTTCAATTCGCTGGTACAACCCATCAAACAATGTGAGACTATTTTTGTCATAAAAAGCACGTATAAAATAAAATGCTTCATCGTGAATTGTTTTCTCGAAAATTTACTAGAAATAAAATACTGAAAAAGATTTATGCGGACGTCCCAAATCATGAATACTTAATGTTATAAATTTTTTTCAGAGTATGAACACATCAGCTATACCGAACCTCCTTAAATAAAAAGGTATACTTCGAGACGTAACATGAAAATTCCAGTATTGTAATTAAAAAATTAAAATATCAACTTTAAAAAAAAGTATCCGATGAATTTTCCTTGTCGTACTTAGTCAACATCATTTATCAAATAGTTTTGAGCGCACTTTGTATTCAGTGTACAATTTTTTCGTAAAAGACTAGACAAAAACTAAATTATCTCTGACCAGCTTATTGACTATTAAAATTTACTCTCATCTCAAGTACCATTTTTAAACATAAAACATTATTTTACTATTCCAATGATTACGAAAATTTTAAAACAAAATCTAATAAGTTAATGAGTTATTTTGCTGCAAGATGTAATAGTACTAGTGCTCTTCTCATTTAAATACAGATTACACTCCATTATTAAACACTAATACCTTGGTGGCAACTTAGCTCACAGCAAACATACATCCTCGCAATTAACTGACGAATTTTTGTACTTGCAAGTCAGCCTACGACATAATGTTTAAAAAAAACGAAACAAAAAAATCGTTACTAGTAAAAACGTGAGTGTAAAAAATAACTTTCATCATATTATCGAAACTCTCATCAATACAGTCATCAAGTTTGATATATTTTAGTAATATACTATGAAATATTGTAATGATATAATACATCCAATGGTATGTACTACTAACCCATGTACGTTTAATTTATAAGTTGCAGAAAAAACATCGCACTTTTACATGATAATTTGTTTCTGCGATTAAAAGTTTCCGAATGAAAGAACCGTAGAGCTGATCGTAATGAAATAAAGAAATTAAAATTGCAAATCCGGAGCTAAACGTCCAACAGGTTTTCCTCACAAGAGCAATAATCGTGCGATCGTTTTTATCGTCATCACATCCAGTTTCTTCATATTTCATTAACTTTTTCCTAACGCTGTCCACCTCAACCGTTGAACTTGATTCATGCGAATCTCGAGGTATGAAAAAAAAAAAAAAAAAAAAAAAAAAATCGAAGTCAAGTACAAAGCACCCGTCTAATCGAACGTGCCATCGGCACGCACGGGAGCGCATCGCGAGGCACGCGGTAATGACGGCGCGGCCGATGAACACCAACAAAAACATCCCAGGCTGACCGTCAAAGTCCTCGCACATCCGCCCACCCCCTCCCGTCGAGGTCATTATCCCTCATCCCAATCGATAGGTCGTCGTTCCTTTCGCGCTCGTTCCTGCTTCTCCATCAGCTTGCTGGCATTACCTTAAACGCGGACTGTTCGGTTGATGGCGCGATTGTAGCCATGGCTACGCCAACACGCGGGTTATACTGTATAATATGAGTATACGTCCCGAGCACGCGCCTTAGGCCCTATACAAGCGTCGTATACGGCCCTGCGGACTCGTATAGACCGGATCGCGTGCTTATGGTCTCGGCAGTCGACCGGTCGCCGTAAATATTGACGCGTCGGGTTGAAACCCTCGCCGCTATCGCACCACTGCAACCATACCACCATTGCTACAGTATTTGCCTCGGTAGCGCAAGCTCGTCTGGCCGCAGCCCCGACCTTCGCTCGAGCGAGGGATCTCCTCGTCTCGTCTCCCATATATATACATACAGATTCAGGTAGTAAAAGTGACCATCTCACGCCACCCTTCCACTGCACCACCACCCCTTGGGCTTTTCAATAGCAACTTTTGCTTTCGATCTTTGACGATGCCACGTGTTTTTTAGAAAGCGAAGCTTTTTTTTCTTTTTTTTTCTTCTCGATTTATATTTCTAATAGTAACAAGACGATGCGGTTAAACAGACGGTTTGTTTGACGCGTTGCATCCCTATACGCTGTTCTGCTCGTCTTAACGGGTACGTCGAGTCGTTATAGCCCCTGTGTAGTTATGAGTAATAGATGAGGGATACCCGAGGGGGAATATGTATGTATATCTGTAATGATCGGTAAGAGTATAGGGGCGTTGAGAAGCCGAAAGTGGCGCGGTAAAAAAGTTAGATGGCCGGCTCGTGTGGCTCGTTGCCCGTTAAATTAGGCCATTGTGGGGCTCCTTCGAGGCGGCAACAGACCATACAGCCATGCAGGCGACCGCAACAGCTGCCATCAGGACTTCGCTCGTCGAGCAGAAGCGCATTCAGTGGGCCAGGGAGAGAGGTAGGACCAACATCATTGCTCTACTCTTTACGGATATCGTTTATTTTTCCCCTGTGCTGTTTTTTCTTTTAGATTTCAATGCACGAGTGTATATGTGTAAGTGCACGCACGGGGGGGGGGGGTTTTGTTTGTAAGTTTTAAATATTTTAGCGGGCAAGGTGTGTGTCGTAGAGCACGTGGTCGATATTTTAAATTTTTGAGTGGTATCGATTCGCGCAATTAAGCGCTTACGACGCTTATGAACATTGATATGTTGGTTGTTTTATTTTTATTTCAAATCAGTTTTAAGTATACATCGGGATGTTGATTTTCTTTGTTTAAATTGGTAAAGTCTTGGCATGACTTTTCAATTTTCATTTCATCTTTCAAATGGTTTTTCGCGGCGCTAGAATTTGCAGATCATGTGCCGAGACTTTGGAATACCATCACACAAGGTACCTACACGTTTTTATATACAAATCGCATTTCCGTATACATACGTTCACTGTGTAGACGTATCAAGGGGCACTCGTTGCTCGTAGAATCATATTTTCCATTGTATGAAAAAACATAGCTGTGGGTGATTAAGTAATAATTTTTTTCGAGCAGAAGAAATGTCGAGACTCACGGGAAACTGCAACCCGAGCAGGAACAAAGACGCGGTCCGCAGTACGATTCGGTAAATAGTGTTCGACCTCCAATGGCTGTATTTGCGAGTGCCAAACTAAAACCCCATGAATCTTAGTACTTACCCGAATGGCCATAGAACCTCGCTGTCGGAGATGAATGGCAAGCGCCACCATCAGCAACATCCCAAATATGCGAGCACGATAAGCTTGCGTAGTTTGGGATCCGACGCCGGCAACTCCTGCCTCGGCTACAACAATGGCCACGATCTCACCACCAGCGCGAGCCTCATTAATCTTCAGGATTATCAAGAACTCGAACGCGTCTCGCGTCAAAGGAGCCCCAGTTTGCCGCCTATTGTTCACGCCAGGGATGAGTATCGCTATCAGGTGAGAACTTACTACCAGCAGATACCGATCTATTCGTCCTTTTTTTTTCTTCGAGATTTTTATAGCGTATTCCCGTTATTATAGTGCCTATAAGAATTAGTTTTGGAATAAATGTCGCGCATACTTTTCCAATTTTAATTGGATTTATAATTATTGCCGATTTCTTGAAATGGAATGATTTCACTGCTATGTAAACTGCACTCTCTTGAGCAAATATACTTTTTGCACTTGTGAATACACGTTAGCCCTCGACACATCATATCCGATCAAAGACGTAGTTTAATAAACAATTACTAAAAATAAATTGTATGTGTAGGTGAATGCAATTACCATTTAATTGTATGCTGTGATTGAGTTATTAACAATTAACATTTAAATCAGTTAACGCGTATGATAGTTTGATAAATGTTTATATTTTAATAAACAATAAAAATCTTAATTATTTTTTATCATATTGTAATGAGTTTATTTTAATTTATACAAGTTGGTGCACTTGCATAAAAGTTCTTGATCGAAAAAGATGATAGATTATCTACTCAGATAAAAAAGTCAATGTGTATAATTCAGAAACAAACAAAAATATTTCCTAAAAGTTCTTAAGAAAATTTTTTAAAGATATAAAGAAAAATTTTACAGAGTAGTTATTTTTGAGGAAAAAATACATACGTACTTACAACGTAAATCAAGACACTGGAAACCGCATGAAAAACACCCCATTCCCTCCCACTAACAAGAAAACTAGGTTTCCTCATCAATATAATCCCAACTTTCTTTCTCAACCCGGTAGTTGGTTAAAACAAAAGAAGTATCATAAAGAGAAAAAAAAAAGAAATCAAGCGAAAAAAAATATGGAGGTGATTGCCCCCGATCACGCTGACGCTGCCACTCAGCGGTATAAGTTAGCGAAACATTCCCTTCGGGGGAAAACTGTTGCCAAGGAAGTTTAAATTGTTGCACATCAAAAGCTGCGCATAGCGTGAGGCGCTTCAAACGTCTGCATGGCTTTTATCGTTATCCTAGCTATGGGCTCCGAGAAAAGGCACCTTAGTTGCCCGAACGCGGACGCGCATCGATCCTTGGAAGGGTGCGTTGACCCTTTGAAGAGCTGGCCCTGTAAACTCGGAGCTTTTGGAATTTGTTTGGCTGCTCTAAGCCAGATCCTGTGCTAAAATGTTGCTCTCGCCAAAAACTCCACTTTTATTTGGGGATGCATGAAGCCAGCTTTTTTTGTAACAAATGTCATCTAGTAACATCAAAAAACATGTTTTCTGTTTGCTACTTGGTATCTAGGTGCGTGTGTTACTTTGGAACTTGTTGACCCCCTCTTATGCCACTGCGTAAACTGGAACGACATCGATCGCTGATAATATACCTTTATTCAACTACCCTTATTCTTTCGTGCGACTACAATTTTTTTTTTTTTTTTATCTTCGTTGCCTTAAGTGTAAAGTAGCAGCACAAGTGACCCGAATTCTTGCTAAAAAAGATAAGGGAAAAAGTGTTCTTAATTATAAATTGTTTGTAAAACGGATAGGTTGAAAAAAAAAATTTGTTCGTGGTTATATCGATTTTATTCCAAATGTGTAGCTCCCACAAGTGAGTCATTGGTTCTAGAAATCCTTAGCATTGCACGACGTCACGACATTTCCTGACTTCACCCAACGTTATCTTACACGATAGAAACATCAATTTAATCAAAATCTGTCACTTTTCTCTAATGGTAATCCAAGGGAATTTCGAAATGAAAAATACATACCAAACAATGAAAACGAGATATCGAGGTATCAGAATATTTATGTAATAAAATTGAGATGGACTATAGGGCCAAAATCGGGTCCGATGCAGAAAATCAATTCTAAGGAGCGAAATCGACGTTGCGTGCTGTGAAACAGTTAAATTGTCATGTATCCGATTTCTCAGACTCTATACACCGCGGCGAGAAACCAGGTTAAATATTCCGCATTATATGTACATGTACATACACGTAAGAAGATTTGAATAATCGATAAAGTTTTTGCACGGAGCAATAAACGCCAAGTTTTTATTGCCTCGGCGAAATGTAAACTCTTACGCTCAAATATTGCTTAGGGAAAACTATTGTTCATTAAATAATTTGAAGACAAAACGAAAGAAAAAAACAACTTATTTTCACCTCAAAACGCTAAAAAAAAAAAACTTTGAATCACGTGACCGCACGCGTGTACCTGCCCCTATCCTTCAATGAATGATTAGCCGGCCACCGACCGAAAGGCCGAGATACGTATCTTTCGCTTCGCACTTGCACAACCCCCTCGGCATAAATCCACGTGGGTCACGCGACTACCTACCCCCTCCCCTTATCACGGGGAGCCTTTGTCAGCAGACTCAAGAGGCTAACGCGCCGCACGGCCGGCAGTCGAGGCACAGGTGTACGACCCGTAACTCCAGGTCGCGGCGCAAGAGCGACAACGCCACCGACTTGGACCTGCCCGAGGGCGAGACCAGCGGCTACGCGAGCGACAACCTCGACGCGGCCGCGATACAACGGCACCACCAGCAGCACAAACAACAGGCTGTTACTTTGCTGCCTTGTCATGGTAAGAGCTTTTCCACCCCAAACGAACTATCTCGTGACTTTTTTTTTTTTTTTTTTTTGGAGATGGGCAATAAAAACATTTGCACCCTTTTCCTGACGCAGTAAACTGCAGAAACCCGGACTCGGCGATGGGAGAGAGGACGTGGCAGAATCCGTATTGTTACGAGGACGAGAACTCGCTGCCGTCGACGCGGAAGTTGGCGAGCCTGAAAGCCGGGGAGTTCAACAGGCAGCGGTGGGGTAGCGTTTGGGGCCAGGAAACGTCAAAAGACCCACCGCCGCCTTCTTGGTTGGAGCGAGGGTTATCGCGGCTCGATCACAGCTCGCAAGTAAGACGCCCGATTTTATCTCTCGCCTTTGTCGGCTCGTCTAGTTATATAAGTGTACTTCCACTGACTCACTCTTTGATAATCTGTAAATACATTCATTTATTTAGCGGCGCAAGTTAAGTCACTGTTGAAACAGAGCTTTTTTACATAGCTGCTCATTTTCGTCATAATTTTTTTATCTTTATTTCTTATACTTGATCGATGTACAATCGACGACTGACTACATTAGACTTCAAATATCAATGGTTTTAATAATTACGCGATATACCAGGGCAGAGGTAGTGAAAATCTTGCTCAACTACTCTTAATCATCATATAGTAACTTTGAACCTCCAAACTAGAATTACTGGTTGAAAAATTGCGAGTCACGTGCAAGCGTTTCTAATTAACATATATGTAGTATGTTGATATACCTATATGCGTAGGCGATCGCGGTTAAGTATAGTGTCGGAGTCAGAGCTTTTACACAATCAGCTCGTGCCTTTAAGGTATTAATTATTATATCTTACGTGATCGTATTCCTATGCAGTGTCACGATGGTTCGGAAGCTGTGTTATTACGATGCGTCCCCCGTTACTATGCGTAAGTGGTTGATCAACAAATAAATCGTTGACTGTTTTTCATAATGGCAACAGCAAAAATGGGAGTTGTTGTCAAAAAAGGTGTACATATCGTTGTCCTCTGAACAATCGTTTGCACTTTACCCGTTATAGGTTTAGAAAATGATATTTTAAACCATACTATGAGGCACATTTTCCATTCGTTTGCTCGAAAAGTTCGTGTTCACTCGTAGGTTTTGGTGATAAATCACGACAGCGCCAGCAGCCCGGAAAGCTCGACCACCGGATCCCTCAGCTCGGACACTAACAAGCGGTACTTGCGAGGCCAGAATGTGCCGATCGACGCCGACATCCTGCAAGAGCGCGAGCTCAGGCGGCAGAAGGCTCTGGAGCTTCAAAGCGCGATAAAGCAGCAACTCGCGGAACGAGAGGAAAAGAGGATCGAGGAGAGGGAGAGGAAAGCTAGGGAAGAACGAGCCGAGGAGGAGAGGATCAAAAGGGAGATGGACATCGAGAAGCAAAGGTTCGATCTCTTTTTGTTTGTCTATTGTAAGTAAACCAGGAAGTGGTCTGATAGTTTCAAGGTGAGTGCTTTTATAGGCTCGATGAGGAACAGCGACGGCAGCGCGAGAGGGAAGCAGCCAAGCAAAAGAAGAACAAAGCGATGCAGGATATGTTGGAGGCAGCCGAGCGCCAGTCGAAGGAAGACCGACAGCAGCGCCGGCATCGCACGTCTGACGAGCAGCAACACGCTTCCGAGATCGTGAAGTCGGATGACAATAGAAACGCCGTTGCTGTCGATAAGGAGACCAAACAGGCGTCCAACCGACATGAATCCATGGACACTCGGTAATAAATGACAACTTTTTTTTTCTACTTAATAGATTTTACGGGTTTTGCATGGCAGAGATGCAGGCGCATGACAAATATTAAGTAGACATTGTGTGCTCTTCTACAATAAGTAAAAAAAATTATTTATTGATTGCGACTATATTTTAATAATACTGTGGATAATGTATCTACCGTAATTAACTAATACAAAGGTACAAATATTAAAGTTCAATCTATATTCTGCGAAAATTGTGTTTAAAAAATAATAGTGAGTCGTGATTTTAATGTACAGAAAATAAATTTTTTAGCTTAATGGAACTATTTGCGAAAAATTGGAGAGGAAGGCACATTAAATTTTATCCAGTGCTCTTTTATATGTGTTTCGAAAATTCACTCACATAAACATGGTACGAATAAAAAAAGGATACTTTATACGAGGTGTATTCCAGTTTTACAAATAAAGTATTACATACTATGAAAATAACATCGTAATAGTACAAGATAATTTTAGACAATTCACTTTGATTAATTTTAAACAATCTCATCACTACTATGTCTTGCGATTTGTGTCAGGAAGTTAATGAGCTTTTGTGACTGTTCCTAAAAACTAATCATAGGTCAAAAGAACTTTCATCCACACAGTACATTTATTTGCATGTCAACCGACTGTTCTCCTATGTAATTAAAGTTTGTGACTACATACCTAATCCAACACGCGATAGAAGAAAATTTCATGCCACCATTAAAGTTTTGCAAATTTTAATTTAAAAAAAAAGGGACCATTAAATCCTGCAAATATTCTGTACTAGAAACCCAGTTTTTTTTAAATTCATATAGAACAAGAAATCAATGTCTCATTTGCTAAACTCGTTCGTCTTAAACTATGTCATTACAATTAACGTTTTGAAGCTCCTTTTGTAGAGTTTCGAATTAAACTTTTACTTTTTTCTTTCACACCAAAAATCCAGCGAAAACAAATCAGATCCAGCAGAGGTCGTGCGACTTCCAGTCAGCCAGGAGGTAGCGATAGTCCTGAGTGCCAGGATCGAAGATACGGGATTGCTGTCCAAGTCGCCGCTAAAACTAGTGAATCTCGTCGTGAGTCCGACGTCACCGCGTGCCAGTAGCAACGGCCAAAGGAGCGATTTGGCTTCTAGTCTGAACGCACTTTTAGCCGGTGGTTTCGGCAGTCCAATCGTGTTGAGGACGGCATCGCCCAAGATGAATGCAAACCGACTGCTCACCCCAAGCAAGTATCGACTGCCCGCAGGAGTAGACTGCGGTACTCAGACTGACTGCGAGGGTGAACTTACGGTACAGCTACGTTTTAATGACTTTCTCGTATATATTTATCTTGGCGTCTTTGCTTCTGTTTCGAGCGAGGATTCGTCAGATAAACTACGATTTGTAAAATGTAGATGACTTTTTGAAGGATTCCGCGGAAAAGTTGCACGAGTCGACCAAAACGAAGGAGACCAAGGAGCGCAAGGAGGCCATCAACCAAAGCCGCCAGGATGTCGAAAAGTAAAGAAAGTGCTTGAATGACTTGCCGATTTCTCGATTTCACGGTTATATATGTATTTAGATCAACAAACACGGACATGGAGCAAACGTCAAAGCCACTGGGACGCGGGAAGCAGCAACAGACCCGACAGAGCTTGGAATCGCGGCCTCGCTGGAACGCAAATCGGTATAGTATCGGCTCGTTGACGAAACTCGCGTCGCGTGAACCGTGCCGAATCAAGGATATACGTGATGAGAAAACTGTTTAGTCCAGGTACTCGCTATCGGACTCAGAGCGAGAAGGACCCGCATTATCAGAGACGCATGAGGCTCAGGAGAAGACAACTGGATACCAGCGATGAGGGATCGAGGTGGGGTACAACGCGACGAGCAGTTTGAAAAAAATGTTTGAAAAATTTTCTTTTTTTTTATTTCAGCGACTTTCGCAGATCGCCTTCACCGGGTCGACGCAAATACGGGATTACAAAGGCAAAGTCTCGGAACTCGATCAGGCGCGTATCGAAACCCGACAACTATGACGCAGACGCATCAATGGACAGTTTGAATTCACTTGTTCCACTGCACACGGATAAAAATGGTCGCATCAGCATCGAAAGGCCCGACGAGCTTTTACGCAGGAACAACAATGTTTGGCACGGGGAGAACATTTTGACTCATCTGAACTCCCTCAGAAACGTAGGCTTACGACCCTTCACGAAATACCACATGGCAAAAAGTATCCTCCACTCATATCCTTTTATTTTTACTGCAGAGTCTCATCATGAAAAAGAAAGAGTGGGATCTTCAGGAGTGTCCAATCACGCCGTTAAACGATTTATACTAAAATTACGGAAATAAGTAACGACAACGCGTTCGGTCGTAACCATAGTTTAATATTACAATTTCTTTCTTTTTCTTTTTTTTTTTTTTTTTTTTTTTTAAATCAAAATAAATCAACGCGCCCACGCGAATACTTCACTGCTAAAGCCCACAACATGTACATAAAAAGATACACCCGTTATAATAGTGATAATACTGTTATGAGCAGCGTAAAAAATTTGTGACCCCATTTTGTAACGAAAGACGAGACGTCAGCGATCGGCCGCAAAATCGAAAAAATGATGTAGCTCATTGTCCGCGATTTTGTTGTTTTATTCATTGCAGAGAGATCGGTATATAAACGGGAACGATGGCCAATTTCCAGCTTGAGGATTTACTAAAGGATGATAAAAAGGACGCAAACCTCATTCCCGATCTGAGCAAGGTGCATATATGTCTGCATGTACAAGCACAAATTTTTTTTTTCAATGTTTCATTGAGAAATTTTTTTCAAAACAAGGCCACGTGCAACTCGGAAGAGGAGTTTCGTCGCCTCATGGAGTGCGTTCCAGACTTCAAAATCAGGCCGGACAAGGTATTTATTTTACATTTCCAAATACCAATGAACCTCCGTTTGATATTTCTCGTATTGCCTTTAAAGCCAAGACGGGACGAGGTGAAGGTCCACGACAAGAGCTTTTCCTTCAAAACTACGAAAAAGGAGATAAAAGCCTTGTCGAAAAAATGGAGCTACGGCAACCCCATACCTCCCGAAATGAGGGAACTGAACCTCCAAGAGCTGCAGCAGGTTCCGATCGACTGGAGAATGCTCACTCCCATCCGGCCGAAACTTCGCCAGGACGAGGAAATGTTTTCGCGATTGGTAAGACACGAGATTATTCAAAAATATACAGTGCCACTCTCTGATGGTCCGTGTATTCTTAGGTTGAATTGGGAAAGCTTCAGTTGAAAACACGAGCTCAGGAGCGTCGTAGCGGCTCTCCCGATTTTATCAAGCGCGTAAAGAATCGAGCGGGTATCATCGAGACCAGCGTGAAAATCTGCGGCGATTGCGGCGAGGAATATTGCGATGGCGAGTACTGCGGAGATATTCTTTACGATTGCTACACACGTGTCAATGTGGCAGCCTCATCGTCAAGTGACAAGCCTAAGCAGTCCACGTCCGATGCTGCAGCGGTAATCGTTGGCCTGAATTCCGGGGCTCGTGGTGAGTAGGAGATCAATCAGTAAAAAAAAAAAAAATAAAAATAAAAAATTGGTAAAATAGCCAACCGAAGGGTAATTTATTGTTTTTCAGGCAAATTTGGTAAGAAAAAGAAGAAGTGCGGAGCTCCCAAGGTGGCTCGTAAAAAGAAAAGCGAGAATCCTAAGACCGCACGGTTGTTGGTGCGCAAAAATAAGACCAGCATTCACGGCAGTAGGGGATCTCTTAGACGCGAAAGCGATCAAGCTAAAGGTCCTGGCACGGAGACCAAATTTCGCAGACAGTGCGCCAAATGCACGAAAAAGAAGAAAAAGAAGGCTGTATCGAAGAAGTAATACTCTATCTATAGTTATATAAATCTTAAATCTGGAACTGTTGTAGTAAAAGTGATATTTCTAGTCTGGCATTTGTTTTTTTTTCTTCATTTTATTCAAGCAGTGACTTCAATAAGTAGATGTGCTTCCAGATTTACAAAACTCGAATTTAGTGATAAAAAAGACGTTCCATGTGAAACATTTGCTTGTTATACACAATGTTGTTGATATTATGTATGAAATATGAAAGAAAACACGTAGGATTTGTTTGGTAGATTGTGTAATGAAAATAAAGGCATGTGCCGAGTAAAAAGGGCTTTTTTTAGACATTCATTTAATTATTTGGTGGTTTAAAAATCTCTCGAAAATACAATAAAAAAATGCATAATGTTGTAGATAATCAGAACTAAAGACATCTACTTTATCGAATGAGCGTTACTCTTGACATCAACTCGTGCTATACCTGCAGAGAAGTATTGCCAGATTACGTTAGATGACTCCTCGTGTAGTCCTGATAGACTTAAATTTGTTGGCTATGTAACTATAAGTTCAAAAGCCAATAAAAAAAAACTATTCAACTTAAATTTGTCAGTAGTCTCTATAATAGTCTCTTAATAACATACCGTTGATTATAACTGATCCACTTTCACACTGATAAGACTAATAAAAAAAAAATTATTGTACAAAAGGACCATGTTTGTTGACCATTTCGATGCAGGGAATAAATAGTGTTAATTAGTAAATTATTATTGCTCAATTCATTGAAATTGTCAATTAAAATTATTAGACTCATCAATCATATTGCACTGAATTTTCTGAATTACATTCTGACATCATTTGACGTTTCAAAGTCTGAACCGTTAGAGCTGGTGGTGTAGTTATGATGTTGGGCTTGACTAGTGCCAATTCTGGCTTTTCTCAAGAAAGCAACTTTAGCAGATGGTAGTTTCTTCTATGTTATCAAATATTTGGGAATTTATTGCTTTCTCTTTCAAATATTTAAATGTCCTGGCTTTGAGCTATCCCAAGGAACCTACGCTTAAGTCACTATTGATTGTAGCATCGAAAACATAAAATTTCGTTTCAATGGATGGCACACATAATTATACAATAAAACCGTTGTTAAAAAATTAAAAAATTCCCTTACCTCTCAAAGTGTCATAAACTCTAGTCAAAGTTGGAGCTGAGCAAGTTAATATTTTTTTACTTAATAATAAAATGTTGTCTTTCCATAACAGATTATCATACTTCAATCGTCTTCGAAATAGCTGAGCACATGGAGCACAAAATTTTTGCTGTCAAAAAATATTGCATGGGAATAAAATTGTTTTTGGGAAAGGAAGCATCAATAGTTAGGAAGTCGAGAAGAAAAATGTTTAAAAAGTGTTTTAAAAAATACTTAAGAAAGAAAAATACAGTTAAAAGTCTTGCATAAATGAAAAAGTTATTTATTGCAGAATCGTATACGACAGATGATTTACAACATGAAATATAAAAGCTTCAAACTAGAAAATAGTTTTAACTGTTAAATAGTCAAACTATGATCACATACAAGATTATTTTCAGATTGCGTTTTCTTATGCGCTCTCTGATAAAATAATGCAAATCACGTTTCCCTCAGAAGATAACAAATTAATGATACGTGAATAACAGGAATTATACTACGCACAGACATCTTGAAAAAACGAACATTAAATTATTTATGTAACACAAGCTATAGTATGACTCTAATATTAGCTCACATAATGTATCCTTTCATTTATCTCAACTACCATAAACACATAGTATTTTCTGTGCCCTTTTTTCATATAAAAATCATGCTGATTATAGACATCCTATGAATGCGATCAAGGAAACAGTTGAAATCTAACAAAAGACAAGAGACGATAAATTTACTTGTATTCGTACTGTCTTACTAGTATACTATTTTATCCATCATCGGAGTTCGACTAAGATACAAATTTAAAAGCTCCACAAATGTTGTATTATTAACTCGTTATTACAAAAAAAAAAATCAAAAATATAAGAACAATCAAGTAGTTTTATTTGCTGTGCAAAAGTAAAAGTAGTAAGAAAATACTCCGATGTCTGTGATAATTAGACACGTCGAGATATGCTTGAAAGTAGTAGGTTTGTGGCATGATTCTACAAATTCATTCGGATTTTACCTAGTTATATTGTGTCTGATATCTCATATGCCATTTCAATTGTGGCATGCAGTAGTTGTAAGGCATAATTTTGAGGCTCTAATGGCAAATCTAAGTGTTTTGATGACAATATCAGCAGCTGTAGTCAAATTAATTGCTTTCCGTTTGAAAGGGAGGTAAGCTAATGTACTTATTAACTTTTTAACACTGACAAGTTAACACCACAAAACACCGAACTTATAAAAAATGTATGTGAAAAATGATTTTACAATGTGTAATTATGATTCCTATTTTTGTGTTATTTGTTACTAATATTAATTTAATATTATATTAGAAATGTGAGATATGTGGTAAAAGAAATGATGGATGACTGGATAAATGAAAACCATGTATCAAATGCATCAGTGATGAAGGAACAAATGAATCGTGGAAATTATCTCACTAAATGGCTAATTGGAGCTTACAACGGAGTTGTCATTTTGTACATGATCAATGTTGTAACAAATTATTCTTGGGAAAAAATTGAGAAGAGAGCCTACATAATGCCAGCCAAATATCCCGTAACTTGGAAGAGATCTCCAAATTATGAAATTGTTGTGTCCACGCAATTTATTGCCGGTTTATTAAGTAACAACAGCCAAGCAATGATTGAAGGTCTTTTAACAATTTTGGTGATTTTCAATGATATCTGTAATTATAACTATGAAGGACATGAAGGCAGCCGATTAAAAAAATTTTTTACAATAAACTTATAGGTTTTACACGTTGGCACTAAAGTACACATTCTAAAAAGAGAGCTTGCAATAGTATCTGAAGTATGCCAATTAAGTAAAGATAAAAAACTCACGTCAAAAGCTATGAAGCTAATGATTAATAAGCATTTGAATTTTATTGATTTCATCGAAAAAATTAAGGACATCTATTTTTACGTTTCGTTTTTTCACGTTCTCATATTTACACTTTTGCACTTCATGATTGCATATATTCTTCTGGATGTGAGTATTTTTTTTTAATTCAAAAATTTACAGTAGCTTCATTACAAAAATTATCAACAGGCTTTCGACAAAGGGGACAGTTCCATGAAAATATTTATGTATGGACTTTTTACAACGCGAAGTTTATTTAGTACTATGATCCATTGCGCTTGCGGAGAGTATCTGATTAATCAAGTAAATTTTTGCAAAAAATTTATATTCATGAATGATGATTTACATTAATTTTTTTAATAGGGTAAGCAATTTGTCGATGATCTTAACAATGTCCAATGGTACGAATTTAGTAACACTTCTGATAAGAGAGCAATAAGCTTTATCCTGATGAAAGCACAAAAACCAATTTGTCTCACGCCTGCAAAATTTGGTTATTTATCTTATAATTATTTGTCTGGTGTATGTATACATGAATGTTAACGCTTAATGAAACTTAATTTTAATCACAATAATAAATATTATTTTTTTTTTTTTTTAGATAATTCGAACATCATATTCATTTCTGTCTTTAGTTCGAGTATCTCATTAATGTAATTTTTATAAGCAACAGAATATCTTACGATGCAATCTATGTAATTTATGTGACCTTTACGTTAATAACCATGAAGTGTTTTAAAATTAATATGTAATCCTGAAAATAAAAGTTTTATTAGATTAGCAATGTTATTTAACTACTTGATTCTTATAATAATTTACTAATTATCAAAGTAGTCGCCTATTTGACGACGAGTAAAAACATACAAATTTAAAGTTAAATATCTCGAAAACAGTACTTCAAATTTTCATAAAACTTTAATCAGTCATACTACGTACACATAACAAGAATCACGTAGTTTTTACCGTAAAAGTACTGTAAAGTTATGATACACCATAATTTTATTTCAGAATAATTTTTACCGTAGATAAATATATTTGCACAGCACCCCAGGATTACCATAGATTCGATGTATAAGTTACTGTACTTCTTTTCTCCAAGGAGTATCGAAAACTTACACTTTAGATTTTAACGATTTTATAAGAAAATTACGTTTTGCATAAAATACCTGGAAAACTACTGAAGGAAGGCATTCGTGTATACATCGACAGATACATCTGTCCTTAAAATAGAAAAATAAATAGATTAAAACATAGTTTTACATGGCTTGGGGATAAAGTATAGGATGGTTCCTAAGACATACATCCTGAATTTGCAATATGAAAGAAATTATGTTTAAGATATATATATAATCACACTTTGAAATAACAAATGTATGCAGAATTAATCAAATATTTTTTTTTTTTTTCATACTGCGCAAGAAGAATAAAATCATATGGGTGTATGCATGTACAAAAAATTAATTCACAAAAAAAATACATTTCTCTTTCTCCCTCCTGGTGGTTGAGGTTTAAAACAAAGAAACTACCTTACATAAAGCGCACATGATCGAGTGCTGTGGTAAGACCACTATTTTATTCATGACTACGAAAGGAATCGATGGGAGAACTTTTTTTTTTGGTGGAAATGTAAATATTCATAATTCATAGATGAAAACCATTGCTATGGTTACAACTGTTGATATGCAGTCTATATGATGCTTTTTATTATACTTTGTTTCTGAAATCGTTGCATTAAAAAATTCGTCACAGAAAGTATCATCAGTTGAGAGAAGGTAAATATAATCAGTTCGATAAAAGTACCTACTCTATCGGATAACTTGTACGACCATGAGACGTCTGAAGCCAATAAGTTGTATCGATAATAATACCGGCCAAGGAAAAATAAGTGACTTCAAAGTCATTAACTCGTGGTTTCTTCAAAGAGGGTTCATCATACTTGAAGGCTATGGTTTTTTCATCCTGACAGGCCTTGCGATAGTTGTCTTTACATTTCAAGCTTGGAATATGGCACTTTCTTTAACTAATTTGGATCAATTGTTGAAGTGCCTTGATACAACTATTTCCGTGGCTTCAGGTTCAATCAGACTAATAGTATTCAAGACAAACGTAAAAAGAGTTAAATATATAATAAAGGATATATACCACGAATGGATGAATAATAAAAACTCCACAGAGCGCAAGAGAATGGCAAAAAACATGAAAACAGTTAACTACATCACCAAGTTTATGATAATATGCTACACCACGTTGGCCATATCTTATACAATCATGTCATTTATATCATACATAAAGAAGCCAGTCAAAGATAGACAGTTTGTGTTTCCATCATATTTTCCAGTAAACAATTCTAAATCATCACCCACATTCGAGATCATATTTTTGGCTCAATCTATCATTGCATTGAAGTGTTCCAGTGAATATGCATTTATTGACTCGATTTTTATAATTTCTGTAATTATCATTCTAAGGGTATTTCTAAATCAAAACAGTTTTCATTTTTCTGCACCCTTTTCGTTTAAATATTAGATTTACAAAAAAGCCATGCTTTACTTTCTAAATGACTTTATATGTTTTTTATTCCACGATAAAGATCTTTCATGCAAAAACCAAGATTTTTATTGTGCGGCGAGAAATTTCAAAATTTTCTTTGATTTGTCAAAGTAATTGTACGTATAAAGCAATGATACAAGGCGCTAAGATTCTCATTAAAAAGCACGTTGATTACATTCGATTTACTGAATATTTGGAACAGGTATTTTCGGGTGTGGTATTAATTTTAATACTCAGCACTACGCTTCTAAACGTTGGTGTTACTTTCATTTGTTTATACGTAAGTCAGTAATTATTTCTAAAGTTCCGTTATTTACATGATTAACCATTATCAATTTTAGCTTCTAGAAAGACATGGTAGTTTGTTAAGAATATGCCAATCCATATTTTTCATAAGCTGCGCATTGATTGGACAAGGAATATACTGTTGTACTGGAGAATATTTGACATCGCAGGTATTTAATAAGTTTGCATCGTGAACTCAACAATATATCATTTTTTCCTAGATTTACTAAAAAAAGTATGCTATGCTTAAGCAAGTATCCTAGTTTTAGTCAACCTCATACAAAAAAAATTTTTATGTCTAAAGGAAAACAAATGAAAAAATTTTTAACTGTATGTCTAATGTTTGTACCTACGGCTTGGGCGAAAAATTTTACAACTTTTTAATTTTTGATCTCTTAATAAGTAATACATTATCACACTTAAAATAATGTATAATATATTTTAGAGTGAACTTATTTTAAAGGACTGGCAAAATGTACCATGGTACACTTTCAAATGTATTAGTAGCAAGCGCATTTTTCTATTTGTGCTAATAAAAGCTCAAAAACCCGTGACCATTAGCGTTGGAAAATTCACGAATCTGTCACTTTTCTTTTTTTCAAAGGTAACTATTCAAACTTTTAATCCTACAATAGTAAAAATGTACTTATATCTTATTTATAATTCGAATCAGATACTCAAAACATCATTTTCTTATCTATCTTTATTACGAGCTATGCAAAAAGCACATTAGTTGGAAACAAATTAGTAGGAAAATCAGTCATTCTAGTTGTTCAGAAATAAATAGAGAAGTACTACGTTACTTACTAAAAAATAATTAGTGCACCAAAAAATTTACAATAAAAATATCATGAAATAATCAAAAACTGACTTGATACTTTTATTAAATGTATTTTATTACAGCCTTCATGAAATCCTTCTTCATACGAATATACTTTTTTTTACTAATATTTTATTGTACAAGACAAAACCAAAAAGATAAATAACGAAAGAAAGAGCATGATATCGATTGCTCATGATGAGAAAGATTGACCAATTCGTTTATCCATAGACATCAAAAATAAAAATGTTATCACCATCAAATACTGCATGTTTTAGTCATTTATACGTCTATAGCTTGATTCGACCTCATGTTTTATTACCTTCATTGTTTTTTCATCTAAAGGTAGTGGAACAAAGAATAGTGCGTGTTGAGCAAGCATGAGGAGCTGATCGCTTATTTTTGATCTTAGAAACAATTCTATTTACCTTTTTGAAAACTCAAATAATACAACTTTTCATGAGTAGATTTTGTACTATGTAACATTTCACTGCACATTGTATTAGTGAATCCTTAACTGTTTCTACTCTATAAAGAAATATTGATATTTTAAACTTATTGTACAAAATGCAGATGGTTCCAGTTGTTGAAATTGGATTAAAAGTGATAGGCAGATATTTTATGATATTATTAGGGATGTTTTTTGTAAGTTTAATATTTCAGATTTGGAATTTTGTCTTAGTAATTAGAAAATTAAATCTGCTAATGAATAATTTAGCAACTACCATGCCATTGTTGCTCATTACATTAAAGCTAACAATGTTTCGATTAAAGTTCAAGTAAATAATCTCCAGATTGTTTAAAATTGCTATAAATATAAATTTTTTTGTACCAAGTAAGACAAATCTTTCTTTTTATCATAAGACAGGTAAATGTTTTAATTAGTCAAATTTTTCGAGATTGGAATAATGAAAAAAATGTTGATGTACGTGAAGTATTGATTAGAAATCAAAAGAGAGCCATTATTTTATCAAATATTATTACATTATGTTACAACGGACTTGTTTTAACTTTCATTGTGATCACAATAGCATCTTACACATCAACATCTATTAATGACAGACAGTTTGTTATTCAAGCAACTTATCCAATGAATGCAAAGAAATCTCCAATATTTGAATTATTATGTCTCTTGCAAGTTGTGGTCGCATTTTTCGGAACTAATGGACATGCTGTTTTGGAAGGATTGCTAACGATATCGGTAGTTTCTTCTATTTCTGTGTTAATTCAAATAAGTTACTAAATGATGCTTTACAGGTTCTTCATGCCAATACAAAGGCTTTTAGTGTTTGTAAAGAAATATCAAATTATACTGAAACTTGTTTGTCTCCTGATAGTGGGAAGTACTCTTCGAAAGCTACACAAAAATTGGTTAAACAACATTCGGAATTCATTACTTTTACAGACAGTATTCAAGACATATTTTCAAATGTATCGTTCTTTCATTTGTTGGTGATGAGTTTAATTAATTGTACAGTTGGATTTATGCTCATTAATGTATGTGTGTTTGACAATTTGATTGTTCATAAATAAATAAAAATTTTGAATAAATCTCTAGAATCAGAGTTAAAATTCCACTTAATTTTTATTTAGTTAAAAAGTATAAACCAAGAAAGCATATACGAATTATTAATGTGCGTAGCCTACATGCTCACTGCTTTATCAGCAGTTTTGTCATACTGCATAGCTGGTGAATATTTAAAAACTCAGGTAATCGCAGTTGATATTATTGATCATTAATTAGTTTTTCAAGTTTCTTAGTATCAAAAATCTAATAAGTAATGATTTTTTATTTGACTCAATAATGTTAATCAAGGGAACTTGGATTTCTCAAAAACTTTACCAAATGCCATGGTATAAATTCAAGCAAAACGATACGAAAATGTTAGCCTTTATGATTATGAGAAGCCAAAGAATTGTGACTGTTACAGTGGGAAATTTTGATGATTTATCACTTATATATTTTACAAAGGTTAAAATTTTAATAACAAGCTTCAACAAATACAGAAAATTTAAACAAAATTAAATTTTATAGATTATCAAGGCTTCTGTTTCATATTTGTCATTTTTACGTGCAGCTAATTTTGCAGATATAAATTAAATTTGGATCAATCGGTGAAAATCATGTTTATTGATCATTGTAACATTATTAGATGAGACAAACACGTAAATAGCAAAGATAAAAATTCACAAGCTCTAAACTCTGACGATTGATTGTCTCATTTGATTATTTATATTTGAATTTATTTTTCAGGTGAACAAATTACACTAAAAAATAATCGAGGCTGCTATAACTCCGTAGGTGGTACGGAAGCTGTACCGCTTACATCGCAACAAAACAGATAAGCTAAATTGATGCACTAGCTGAGCCGCTTTTACGGCTCGTGCATGAGACATCAGTGTATATCTAAACAAAATACTTGAAAGGCTACACACCGTACAGCAGGTGCTATCGTTATTCTTAAATGAAGCTTCTGCTGTACCGATTGGTGCCGCCACTGAGCCGGAGTTCGAAAAACTTCCTCTACTACCATCCGCTATAGCCACTCCATGTCGAGAGAGTATTCTTGTAGAAAATTTTGAATGCACACAAAAGTCAAACGATAATGTCTTGGTCACTATAGATTTTAATAAAATGCAAAAAAGTTTTGAGCAATTAAAAAGTCTTCGCAGAGAAAACTACTACCAAGAATTTAGTACAAAGCTTCCTTAAACTTTTATTTCATCATTTCAGTTTTAATTATTTTGAACTTTAAATTACAATTTTCAGTACTATTATTTACTTCATTTANTTGATTAACTTATGGCATAAAATGGTCGTAGCTCCGTTGGCTCATTTTTTTTTGATACTGAAGGTATAACTAAACTGCTTAATCAGCTAGGGGTTTAAAGTCTCAAACTTTTTAACTCAATCCTACCCTAAAAGAGAATTTTCTATCATACAAAATTACTGAATTTGGTGAACAAGTTAGAAAATAGGCAGAAAAATGCGTATTACATCTTTTTATACATTTAATTAAATTAAAAAAAAAAAAGTTAATTTTATCAAGCATATTACATCAGTGCAATTTATTAATTAAATACGATTCTTCGTGCATATAAGCACTTCTGTACATGGTTGAATACATAACAGTCAATAACGAAACGTTCAATGTAGCGATATAATAAGTATTCAAAATAGAGAAAAACTCAAGCAGACATAATAGTAGTATTATATTTATGTTTATTAGAATTAAATGGCTACCGTATTCGTATATTTGAGTAGCCAAGGAATGCAAGTGTTCTAAAATTAAAAAAATCCTCTTTTACATAATTATAAGCTAAAAAACGTTGTTTTTACCTTAACTACTATGATAAGGATTGTTATAGGTTAGAAAGCATATGGAATTGTGCATTATTTCAAGCATTACGTATTACAATTTTATTTTTACTATCCACACACTATCGTTGTAGATGCCACTACTCAGTCAAGGCACTTAAGTCTTACAAGATTAAGTATCAAGAAAATCTGTGTTTTAAAAGCAAAAGGAACAGTAGTGCTTATTTAATAATAAATTATATTAGATTTTTTTACAATAATAACAGTGTTTTATTAAAGACTTTTTTTTTTTTAATATGTGTAAGTACGTTGAAGACGTTTTTTTTTAGCTTCAGTTCTTTGATCCATGTACGGTTAAATTAACATACCTATAATTTATCGCCTTTAGTTCTTCTTTGGAATTAAACTACCTTTCGAAAGTTTTAATAACGTATCACATACATACGATAACTATTATGCGTCAAATAACTTCTGAAAAATAAAAAGTATAATACAATACATTGCTTTTTAGATATAAATACTAGGAGTTATTCGATGTCACATTTTCAGCTGTAAACGTGCAAACATAATATGCTTATACCGATGAAACTGACGCATTTTCCAAACTAAAAACAGTCATTTTCAAGTGAATAATAAATGGATGAACGCATGCGTTCTTCATACAGCTTATAGTAGATAATCGATCTTTCAATGCCTTAGATGTTTCAATGCTATGTACCAATCGATAATTTCAGATTTTTACTAATCATGTATGAAATATTAATATCACCAGGGAAACTTGAGCAAAACAAAACGTTGTTACTCTATTCAGACAATGTCACAAGAAAATAGAAATGGAAGCTTGTTCAAGAACAAAATTTTGCAGATCTAGTATTTCCTCTATTAAAATTGTTAATATAATTCTTATTTTTTTAATTTAAAACAAAAAAGCTTTTTTATATTATTCACAATTTAACAGTAGTCGAAAAAGACGATTTCAATCTTGGGAAGATTAATTTTCTAATATGAAGACTCTGATCAATAAACCTTTAGAAATCTGCCTAAAAACGACTAGTCTTTATCCATTTACAAAAAATTATATTGGAAAATTTATTATCGTTTCAACACTTATAACTACACTTCCTTTCCAATTAAATTCATTGTTGATAACAAAAGAAAACCCAGTTCTTCTGATGGACAACTTAAGCGACATCATTACAGAAATACTAATCATTTTTAAAATATCAATATTGTGGAGGACGAAGAGGTAAACAAATTTTTTTAGTGTTTTCCTTTTTAAAATTAAAGTAGCAGCTTAACTTATGCAAAACACTGCGGTCTGAAATGTAAGGCACAACCAACTTTTCATAGGTTCCAGAGCAAAGTGTCGTTTTAACCATAGGATTCAATTTTAATAAATTAGTTTAGTTCAAACAAGCACGTTAAAATTTTTTTCGCAAATGGTAAATAAAAAAATTAATTACTAAGTGCATAAAGATTTTTTTGTCCATTTCCAAACCATTTTTTCTATTTAGAGCGTTAGGATGACACCATAGAAAATGTATGCGTATATATTGAAGAAAAACGTATTTTAGTAAAAAGTTTTATTTTCAATGACATCTACAACTTGGTTAACGTATAAAATGTGAAAATGTTGAAAGTTATGCAAAAATACTTTTTGCATAACTTACTTTGCTTACGAAGTGCTGAGATAAAATATTCACGAGTTTTCCCGTGTAGTAAAACGTGTTTAAATGTAAATTATCAACTTCAATCAGAAACACGAAGTTATTCTGTTAACTTGTTGATTAGTCCTTACATAGTAGGTTCAGAATTTGTTTTAGATAAACATAGATGATTTATTAATAGTCACACATGTTTCTCCTGCAAAATGTGAAGTACAACCATATTTTGGTCATGTCTTAGAAACACAGAATTTTTAAAACAATTTCCATTATACAATGTGCATATGTTTTTTTTTTATTTATTTTTTGTTTCACTCACAGGAATATAAAGGATCTTTTACAAGAAATAATTAATGATTGGGATAAGAAAAATTTACCAAATGAATGGATTCCGCTAGCTCAAAACTGTAGCTTATTTTGTAGTATTGATGTTGCTGTGTACGTTGGCGCAGCAATATTTTATTATCCTGAATTGATATTAAATTACATAAATAAACCTCAGGAAAAAAGAGTTATGGTTTTGAAGTGCTGTTTTCCTTTTGACTCCACCAAAACTCCAATATATGAAGTTATCGTTTTGTTGCAAGCATTTCAAGCAACTCTCCTGGTAGTAGCAGATACTTTAAGCAAATCACTTCTTGTGGCATGCGTAAGTAGGTTATCTTTTTTATTACTTAACTATATAATTTTTTTCATACTTTCATGTTTTTTGTAAATGTATTATTATTTATTAGGTTTTACACGTAAGAGCACGTATTTACTTATTAGAATATTACATAGAACAATTTTCCAGTAACTGCATCCGTAATAAGGGTCAAAGAAGTGATAATGAGCCTAAATTTATTAAAGATGTGATCATGGAACATTCAAAAATCTTGACTCTTGTTAAAAAAATAGATTTTTCTTACAGTTATATAATACTCCTTCAAATGGTGTTCAGCAACATAATAATTTGTGTCACTGGATTTGTTATAATCACGGTATGTTTTTTAAAAAAAAGTTAATATTTATAAAATTATAAAATTCTTTTACATACGTATAAGGTACACCTGATCAATTAATCATTAAATTGTAATTTCAATAATCAAGAATCGTATGTATCTACAGGCCTTTGAATCAGCTAACATGTTGCTATTAATAAAATTTATCTTGTTTATTATTGCAATGCTTTTGCAATGCTTTACATTTTGTATCGCCAGTCAATATCTTAGAAATAAGGTGATAATAATAATTATCAAATGATAAAATTTTTTTTGATTCGTAGTGATTACAATTTATTATTTCAGGGTGAACTTATAAATAAAATTGTATATAATAGTTTTTGGTATCATTCTAAGCCTATTGAGATTAAAGCTATTATGTTTGTGATATCAAGTACTATACGACCACTAACACTAAGAGGTGGGAAGCTGTTTGAACTTTCTATAAACACTTTCGTTCAGGTAATAAATTAAATACATTCCATTATCTGGATAAAAGAAAGGAAATGATTCCTACTCGAGCGTTTTTGAGAGGCTGGTGTGCCCACGGTAGATAGCACTTATCTGACGAAAACTACGAGTAACTCTGCGCTAAAGGCGACTTTTCGGGTTGTAAAGAATAAAGTGAGTTATTTGGATGAAAGTTGTTCACTACTTTTGGTACGGGTGCTACAAAGAGAGAGCCGATTTTTGGGCACCTTCAGGGTTAAATATTTGCTTCTAGCAAACCAATTGATGTGATAATTTCACACACACACACACTTTAGGTGAATCTTAACTCTCTATTGACTACAGTTTTATCAATTTATATGAAATGAAAAGCTTTAAGTATTAGAGCTAATTCTGACAATTCTCTGACAGTAAAAAAATGCAAAATATTTAACGAATAATGACTATTAGTTCCTCAAGGTATTCAACCTTTTCAAATAAAGCTGTCATACGTGATACGGCGAATTTTTCATCTTGTAATATTTTTATCAACCATCGTTACGTAGCATACTTTCTTCTTATCAGCATAAAAGTTTCTTTGCTTGGATAGTTCCATAAATGACATTTTTACATAGTTACAATCCAAAAATAAAATTTACTGTGATTAGTATTTCATTTTTATTCTAATAAGTCGAGTTGCTCATGTGTGCTTTGAAGCCAAGTCTTTTTCATTATTATAGAACAATTTTCAATCAACCCTTGTTAAATACAGGAATGAATTGTCCTTTCTTACTCTTAAGCATCTATACACACAATACATCCAAGAATATATTCTCAACACATATGATCTAATAATTTTTACAGATTTTAAGGACTTCATTTTCTTATCTATCGGTACTACGTGCTGTGTATACCTAACAAGAACAGTTTGTTTAAATTCTGAACGTCAGAAAAGAAACTAGTTGATTGTATTTTTTGAAAAATAAAAAATATTAACTGTTTGTATCTCTATTTGATTATGAATAAATGTCCTCTGTACTAAATGTAAGAGTATATGCATATTTTTTTGTATCATTAAACTTTTGTCTATCACCAATTAAGTTCTTTATACGCTAAATTACCGATGATATTGATGACCTAGATAATCCAAGGTTAAGGAAAATTTGTTTAAGAGCAAATAGTATCCTTGATGTCAACAATTTAATGTAACGTTATCGTCATTGTCCAATATTTGATCGTTCTTTACGTAAGACAACTTGATTAGAATACTAACAAAACTCGCTGTGAACTCTTGCGATGATAATCGTCTAATTTTTAGTCGAGCTGACTGGAACAATAACTCATTCTATTACAGAAAGTTTACAACTGTAAAAATGAACATAGAGAATATTATGGTTTTTCGACACTTGAAAATTATTTCTAAGATGATGGGATGCTACTTAAAACAAGAATCAGGATTAAAAAGATTCATAGTTGTGCTCATTTTTAGTTCTATAGATCTCCCTTTCCAAATCCTAAATAATATAGAATCTTACAGCAACATGGATAAGTTTATGTTCAGTTTTGGACCTGTCTTGACGAAGATAAACATTTCATTGAAGCTAGTTTTTTTTCGTGCTAATCTTGGGTAAGTATTAACTATATCTAAAGGTATCAAATAATACTTAAACTTAATTGTACTTGCTTTTTTTCAATAAGAACAATGAGATGTCTCATAAGAGAAATATTAGATGATTACACCAGTATAAAACGAAAAGAAGAAAAAATTTTAATGCAAAAAAATTTTAAAATATGTGGCTTAATTTACATAGTAGTATTAGTAACTTACAATTTTTTAATTGTTGGTTGCATTAGTACTGCTTTCATGTCTTACCTTGAATCAAATAAAATTGAAGAAATCCAGTTTATGATTCCAATTACGTATCCACTTTTAAAAAAAACCTGGAAAAATTACATACTGCTAAGTTTCATGCAGTTTCTACAACTTTTTGTTGTGGCTAACGCACATGTTTTCATCGAAGTTCTTCTTGCTTTGCTGGTAATATATTTTTTAATATTCATGTAATATATAGCAGAAAAAAATTATTCCTTTGCGTACACCCAATCCGAATGGAAAGTCGAACTCGATAGCATATATTATCGAAGCACTAAACTAGATCCGTGCTCTGGGCAAGGCAGAAATTAAATATGCATTATAGAATTAATAAAAAAGTATTAATGTTAAATGTCTTTTTATTTTAATGTATTATTATAGTAAAAATATGCGTACTACATATGATACTGGATATTCATTTACTTTATTAATTGATTTGGTGTTCATTGTAGAAAAATTTACGATACAATTAATAACTAAATTAAACTGCAAGTTTTATGTAATTTTAATATCTTCTTATTTTACTGGACATTTCTATAGATATTTCGTTGCAGTATAAACTGTAGTGAAAAAGAAATGTACCTTCCTCAGAAGATTATCATGCAGCTGAAACAGCATGTATGCATGTATCGAAACAACTGTAACGATGCATAGTTAATTAAAATAACATACAAATAACATAAGACTTATAGTTTTATTTATTACTTTAATTTTTATTTTCTTTATTGAGTTGAGGATGCAATGTACTATTTATATTGGGATGTTAAATATATAGATTTTCATTAACTTTTAACATTTAAATAGGTCCTTCATGTTTCTACAAAAGCTCACAGAACAAGACTTGCAATAATAAATTATTCTGTGGCATGTATCGAGGGTGATAAAACAACTGTCAGAAATTCTATAAATGATCTATTTACGAAACACAAGAACTACTTACAATTTATTAAGCAAATAGAAGGAGTATACTCTTTTATTATTCTGACTCAGTTGTTTTTTGTCACTTTTCAAATGTGTGCTATTGGATATGTCCTGATTACTGTAAGTAGTTACTTATAAATTATAAAAATTTATGTCTGGAAATTATTAAATTTCATTTTTTAGTCAATCGAAAACGATTCAATAACAGAGAAGTTTTATCTGTACCTCAATTTCTTGATGGCTGATTTATGGGCTTTAGGATCGTATTGTTTTGCAGGCGAATATATTATGAGACAGGTCAGTGCAAATAATCGAATTTTTCTATTCGTTGTACAAAATACTAGTTCTTATTATTATATTATAAACAACATTTTTTTACTGTCAACAGAGTGAATATATATTTAATGATTTCATGTGTAAATGTCCTTGGAATGAATTTCAAACAGAACATATTAAAAGTTTGAACATTTTTCTTATAAAAGCACAACAATTCAAAGTTTTAACAGTTGGGAAACTTGCTCATTTATCGTTGAAATGCTTTACAGATGTTAGTATATTGTATTAAGTTGTAATTTATTTTGAAAATCATGAATCCTTCTGATAATAAATAAATAAATTTTTTCAGACAATAAAAGCATCTTTTTCAATTTTGTCAGTATTCAGAGCAATTAATATTAAACAACACAGAACGCAGTACTTTTAGTGACTAGTTTCGAGAAAAAATATGAAACAACTTAATCATACGAAATTAAAAACAAGTTTTTAAAATATTAGCAGGAAGTTTTTCACTTCTGGCTTGATAACCAACAACATTTGAGTTTTTACATGAACAACCAATTATTGATTAATGTAGTACTCAAAAACATAATTCCTTACACTGTAACAGTTTAACGTTTCAACAGATTTTTTTTTCTTGTACAATAAAAATATTATTGCCAAAAAAATAAAACTATTAATATCATATAAAATATTATCTTGTAACGCAATAAATTATTTATAAATTTATTCATAATTGATTAACTTATGGCATAAAATGGTCGTAGCTCCGTTGGCTCATTTTTTTTTGATACTGAAGGTATAACTAAACTGCTTAATCAGCTAGGGGTTTAAAGTCTCAAACTTTTTAACTCAATCCTACCCTAAAAGAGAATTTTCTATCATACAAAATTACTGAATTTGGTGAACAAGTTAGAAAATAGGCAGAAAAATGCGTATTACATCTTTTTATGCATACATGTAAAATCAAACATATGCATTCATAAATTTTCAATCAACTGATTAGTAACGTAGCTGCTCAGTAAAATTTTTTTTTTTTAAATTACCAAATAGAGTGGAAATGACTTGGTTCTTAAAAAATTTCAATGGTATAAACAAAGGAAGCTTTGTGTGATTTTTGTTGTTGCACTGATATCTAATTGTTTAATAATTGTTGTCTTCCAATTAATTTCATTATTCATTTTTTTGCCTGTTTCAAAGCTTTGATTCAGACAATTTGCAAAATTTTATGTACCATTTCTCTGTATTCCAAGTCAATGATAATTAACGTTTTCAAACTAATCCCATGAACAGTTAAACTTTCTTGGACGAAAGTTTATGGTAAGGTAATGTGTAGGTTGTAAGTCAAAGAGATTAAAAGCCAATTAAAAGGTCCCTCAGGTAATTTGTGGCAAGACGAGAGAAAAAGAAAGAAAGAGAGTGAAAGAGAACGTTGATCTATCGATCGATGGAGGAGTTATGTCCTTGAACCTGGCTTGGAAACGGCGGTTCGCAGTCAAACTTTTCAACCCCTCTTTACACATGAAAAAGAGAAAAAGAGAGAGCAGATGGAGCTCCACAGCTACATTCGCTTTTTTTTTTCTGCTGTTTTTTCTCTGCTTTCGAGAAACTACGTGAGCGGGTGCATGTGTTCTATGACCAACGATGTCGCGAGAGTATCTACTCTGGCTTTGGAATGAGCTCTTTGTTTTCACAATTTTGTCGCCTAACACTTTTCATTCTCATTGGCTAGCCAAAGCAAAAGACATACTTGACTACGATGTGCAAATAATGTATTTGATCTAGTTGAGATACTTTGGATATGCTGATAAAAAGTTTCTTGACTGGAATAGCTGGATGAAATAAATGGAAGACAGGGTGAAGTTTTTTTCAATTTTTTTTTCTAAAAATTTTTTTTTTTTTTTTTACTGCCTGACAGTACAGCTTTTTGTTACTTATTTTTAGTTAATTATCAATATTATAATGAAATCATTTTTATCCAACAATTAAAATGTGTATAGGTAGTATAAAAAATAGCAAGTAACGAGTAAAAAATGCACCACAAACCTGAAAGCACGTTACAATTCAATTAAGATCTAATGAAAAAAAACTTGAATGGATTGCTTTGTTCGACTCTATTAATATTGTCCTCAGTATTATTGACTCTACAAGGACGAATTTTTCTAGCATGATACAATGCAAATTTTTAAGATTCGAAGCTAAATAATCTTCACATAAACATAGAATAAAATAATTTTAGCTTTGAACATTAATTTCATAATTAGCAATGTATAGGTTTTGTTGGAAAAATAAATATTGACATCTGATTTTGACGAAACTATTAGCACGAAATTTTTGTGTTACCAGCTCGTTTGTAAAATTATCAGAGATACTCTTAAACAAGAAGTGCAACCAGAGAGTGAAAATTTTTCACTAACGTAGCGCAACATTGCTCAAATAAAAAATCTTCACTGATCCACTCGTAGTTAACAATGATTAACAATGAAAGTGCTTTTTACTGGTAACTTGAAATGTTTGAATGGTAGCAAAAGTTGGATCGGATAAAAATTCTGTGAGAAGAGAAGAAAACTTTTCCATCAAGGATCAATTTCTCTTCTGAGTGTACTTCAAAGTTGGAAAATGAAAGAAATAGATGAATCATTTTTTTAATGACTTTTTTAAAGCCTGTAGTATCAATCGATGCCATTTCACTAGTTTTATAAAAATAAGACTTTATTAATTCTTTGATTTAAATAAAGTAGTGAAAGAAGCTGTTTTATATAATTTTATATAGGATTAAGAATAAATTTTGCAGCAATTTATGTACGAATTTTCGCAGAGTTTCACAATAAATACAAGCCATCGAAGT